AAAATGGGGAAAAAATGGGGCAAAAATGGAATAAAATTGGGAAAAAATGGGGTAAAAATGGGCAAAATTGGCAAAAAAACGAGACAAAATTTTTAAAAAATTGGGCAAAAATGGGACAAAATTGGGCAAAAATGGGACAAAAATGGGCAAAAAAAGGGACAAAAATTGCACGAAAATGGATAAAAATGGGGCAAAAATGGAATGAAAATGGGCAAAATGGGACAAAAACGTGACAAAAATGGGACAAAAATGGGACAAAAATGGGGAAAAAACAGGGGAAAATGGGGGAAAATGGGCAAAAATGGAGAAAAATGGGGGGAAAATGGGACAAAAAATGGGGTAAAAATGGGAGGAAATGGGCAAAAAAGGGGGAAATGGGGCAAAAAATGGACAAAAATGGGGCAAAATGGGGCAAAAATGGGGAAATGGGCAAAAATGGGTGAAATGGGCAAAAAATGGGGGAAATGGGCAAAAAATGGGGCAAAAAAGGGGAAAAATGGGGAAAATGGGACAAAAATGGGGAAAAATGGGCAAAAAACGGGGCAAAAATGGGGAAAAATGGGCAAAAATGGGGGAAAATGGGCAATAAATGGACAAAAATGGACAAAAATCACAAAAAAGGGGCAAAAATGGGGGAAAAAAATCAAGACAAAAATATTAAAAAATGGGACAAAAATGAGGCAAAAATAGACAAAATTGGCAAAAAAAAATCAGGCAAAAAAATTTTAAAAATGGGACAAAATTGGGACAAAAACTGACAGAAATGGGCAAAAATGGGACAGAAATGACCCCAAGATGTCCCCAGATGGCACCAAATGTCCCCAAATGTCCCCAAAGTGTCCCCCGATGTCCCCAAGGTGTCCCCAGGGTGTCCCTAGGGTGTCCCTAGGGTGTCCCCAACTGTCCCCAGATGGCACCAAATGTCCCCAAGTGTCCCCAAAATGACCCAAAATGTCCCCAAATGTCCCCAGGGTGTCCCCAAATGTCCCCAAAGTGTCCCCAGATGGCCCCAAAGTGTCCCCAGATGGCACCAAAGTGTCCCCAGATGTCCCCGAGGTGTCCCCAGATGTCCCCAAGGTGCCCCCAAATGTCCCCAGGGTGTCCCTAAAGTGTCCCCAGATGGAAACCAAATGTCCCCAGGTGTCCCCAGGTGTCCCCAAAGTGTCCCCAGATGTCCCCAAGGTGTCCCCAAAGTGTCCCCAAATGGCCCCAAAATGACCCCAGATGGCACCAAATGTCCCCAGATGGCACCAAGTGTCCCCAAATGGACCCAAAGTGTCCCCAAATGGCCTCAAAGTGTCCCCAAAGTGTCCCCAAATGTCCCCAGAGTGTCCCCAAATGTCCCCAAATGTCCCCAAAGTGTCCCCAGATGTCCCCAGGTGTCCCCAAAGTGTCCCCAAATGTCCCCAGAGTGTCCCCAAATGTCCCCAAATGTCCCCAAAGTGTCCCCAGATGTCCCCAGGTGTCCCCAAAGTGTCCCCAAAATGGCCCCAAATGTCCCCAAAGTGTCCCCAAATGTCCCCAAATGGCACCAAAGTGTCCCCAAAGTGTCCCCAAATGTCCCCAAAGTGTCCCCAGATGGACCCAAAGTGTCCCCAGGGTGTCCCCAGATGTCCCCAGGGTGTCCCTAAAGTGTCCCCAGATGTCCCCAAAATGTCCCCAAATGGCACCAAATGTCCCAAAATGTCACCGAGGTGTCCCCAAGTGTCCCCAGATGGCCCCAAAGTGTCCCCAAATGTCCCCAAAATGGCACCAAAGTGTCCCCAAATGTCCTCAAAGTGTCCCCAAGTGTCCACAGGGTGTCCCCAACTGTCCTGAAATGTCCCCAAAGTGTCCCCAAATGTCCTCAAGGTGCCCCCAAATGTCCCCAAATGACCCCAAATGGACCCAAATGTCCCCAAAGTGTCCCCAAATGGCTCCAAAGTGTCCCCAGATGTCCCCAAGTGTCCCCAGATGTCCCCAAGTGTCCCCAAATGTCCCCAGGATGTCCCCAGGGTGTCCCCAGATGTCCCCGAGGTGTCCCCAACTGTCCTGAAATGTCCCTAAAGTGTCCCCAAATGACCCAAAATGGCCCCAAAATGACCCAAGATGGCCCCAAATGAACCCAAAGTGTCCCCAAATGTCCCCAGGGCGTCCCCAAAGTGTCCCCAAATGTCCCCAGATGGCACCAAATTGTCCCCAGATGGCACCAAAGTGTCCCCAGATGTCCCCAAATGATCCAAAATGGCCCCAAATGTCCCCAGATGCCCCCAAAGTGTCCCCAAATGGCCCCAAAGTGTCCCCAAAGTGTCCCAAAGTGTCCCCAGATGTCCCCAAAGTGTCCCCAAGTGTCCCCAGATGTCCCCGAGGTGTCCCTAAAGTGTCCCCAAATGGACCCAAAGTGTCCCCAACTGTCCCCAGATGGCATCAAAGTGTCCCCAAATGTCCCCAGATGGCACCAAAGTGTCCCCAACTGTGCCCAAATGACCCAAAATGGCCCCAAATGTCCCCAAGGTGTCCCCAGATGTCCCCAAAGTGTCCCCAGATGGCCCCAAAGTGTCCCAAACAGACCCAAAGTGTCCCCAAATGTCCCCAAAATGGCACCAAATGTCCCCAGGATGTCCCCAAAGTGTCCCCAGATGGCACCAAATGCCCTGAAAATGACCTAAAATGGCCCCAAATGTCCTCAAGGTGTCCCCAAAGTGTCCCCAAAGTGTCCCTAAATGTCCCCAGCTGTCCCCGGTGTCCCCTCACCGTGCCAGCTGCTCCATGTCCCCGTCCCTCAGGTGGTTCCCGGCCAGCGAGAGGTGGCACAGGGCACAGTCGGCCTGGCGGGGACAGCGGGATGTCACCGAGGCCACCAAGTGTCCCCAAGGCCACCAGGAGGGTCCCCAAGGCCACCAGGAGTGTCACCGAGGCCACCAAGTGTCACCAAGGCCACCAGGAGGGTCACCAAGGCCACCAGGAGGGTCACCAAGGCCACCAAAAGTGTCACCAAGGCCACCAAAAGTGTCACCGAGGCCACCAAAAGTGTCATCGAGGACACCAAAAGGGTCACCAAGGCCATCAAAAGTGTCATAGAGGCCACCAAGTGTCACCAGGGCCACCAAAAGTGTCATTGAGGCCACCAAAAGTGTCACCGAGGTCACCAAAAGTGTCATCGAGGTCACCAAAAGTGTCATCAAGGACACCAAAAGTGTCATCGAGGTCACCAAAAGTGTCCCCAAGGTCAACAAAAGTGTCATCAAGGTCACCAAAAGTGTCATCGAGGCCACCAAAAGTGTCCCCGAGGCCACCAAATGTGGCCCCAAGGACACCAAAAGTGGCCCCAGGGCACCAAAAGTGTCCCCAAGGTCACCAAAAGTGTCATCAAGGACACCAAAAGTGTCCCAAAGGCCACCAAAAGTGTCACCGAGGCCACCAAAAGTGTCCCCAAGGTGACCAGAAGTGTCCCCAAGGCCACCAAAAGTGTCATCGAGGCCACCAGGAGGGTCACCAAGGACACCAAAAGTGTCCCCAAGGCCACCAAAAGTGTCCCCAAGGTCACCAAACATGGCCCCAAGGACACCAAGAGTGTCATCGAGGTCACCAAAAGTGGCCCCAAGGCCACCAAAAGTGTCCCCAAGGTCACCAGGAGTGGCCCCAAGGCCACCAAAAGTGTCCCCAAGGTCACCAGGAGTGGCCCCAAGGCCACCAAAAGTGTCCCCAAAGCCACCAAAAGTGTCACCAAGGCCACCAAAAGTGGCACCGAGGCCACCAAAAGTGTCCCCAAGGCCACCAAAAGTGTCCCCGAGGCCACCAAGTGTCACCAGGGCCACCAGGAGGGTCCCCAAGGTCACCAAAAGTGTCCCAAAGGTCACCAAAAGTGTCACCGAGGTCACCAAAAGTGTCCCCAAGGCCACCAAAAGTGTCCCCAAGGCCACCAAAAGTGTTATCGAGGCCATCAAGTGTCACCATGGTCACCAAAAGTGTCATCGAGGCCACCAAAAGTGTCCCCAAGGTCACCAAAAGTGTCCCCAAGGTCACCAAAAGTGTCCCCAAGGTCACCAAGAGTGTCCCCAAGGTCACCAAAAGTGTCCCCAAGGTCACCAGGAGTGGCCCCAAGGCCACCAAAAGTGTCACCGAGGCCACCAAAAGTGTCACCGAGGCCACCAAAAGTGTCATCAAGGTCATCAAAAGTGTCATCGAGGCCACCAAGAGTGTCCCCAGGGCCACCAGGAGTGTCCCCAAGGTCACCAAAAGTGTCCCCAAGGCCACCAAAAGTGTCCTCAAGGTCACCAAGGCCACCAGGAGTGGCCCCAAGGCCTCCAAAAGTGTCATCAAGGTCACCAAGTGTCACCAGGGCCACCAGGAGTGTCATCGAGGCCACCAAAAGTGTCACCAAGGCCACCAAAAGTGTCCCCAAGGTCACCAAAAGTGTCATCGAGGCCACCAAGTGTCCCCAAGGCCACCAAAAGTGTCATCGAGGCCACCAAAGTGTCATCGAGGCCACCAAAAGTGTCCCCAAGGTCACCAAAAGTGTCCCCAAGGTCACCAAAAGTGGCCCCGAGGCCACCAAAAGTGACCCCAAGGTCACTAAAAGTGTCATTGAGGCCACCAAAAGTGTCCCCAAGGCCACCAAGTGTCACCGAGGCCACCAAAAGTGTCCCCAAGGCCACCAAAAGTGTCACCAAGGCCACCAAAAATGTCACCGAGGCCACCAAAAGTGTCCCCAAGGCCACCAGGAGTGGCCCCAAGGTCACCAAAAGTGTCCCCAAGGTCACCAAAAGTGTCACTGAGGTCACCAAATGTGGCCCCAAGGCCACCAAAAGTGTCACCGAGGCCACCAAAAGTGTCCCCAAGGCCACCAGGAGGGTCCCCAAGGCCACCAAAAGTGTCACCGAGGACACCAAAAGTGTCCCCAAGGTCACCAAAAGTGTCATCGAGGCCACCAAAAGTGTCCCCAAGGCCACCAAAAGTGTCCCCAAGGCCACCAAAAGTGTCCCCAAGGCCACCAGGAGTGTCACCGAGGCCACCAAGTGTCACCAAGGCTACCAAAAGTGTCATCGAGGTCACCAAAAGTGTCCCCAAGGTGACCAAAAGTGTCACCAAGGTCACCAAAAGTGTCCTCAAGGTCACCAAAAGTGTCCCCAAGGACACCAAAAGTGTCCCCAAGGCCACCAGGAGGGTCCCCAAGGCCACCAAAAGTGTCATCAAGGCCACCAAATGTGTCATCGAGGCCACCAAAAGTGACATCAAGGCCACCAAGTGTCCCCAATGTCCCCAATGTCCCCAAATGTCCCCAATCCCCACAAATGTCCCCAATGCCCTCAATGTCCCCAACACCCCCAAATGTCCCCAAATGTCCCCAATCCCCCCAAATGTCCCCAAATGTCCCCAATGTCCCCAATGTCCCCAATGTCCCCAATGTCCCCAATGTCCCCAATCCCCCCAATGCCCCCAAATGTCCCCAATGTCCCCCAAATGTCCCCAAATGTCCCCAATGTCCCCCAATGTCCCCAATGTCCCCCCAATCCCCCCAATGTCCCCAATGTCCCCAATGTCCCCAATGTCCCCAATGTCCCCAAATGTCCCCAATGTCCCCCCAATGTCCCCAATGTCCCCAATGTCCCCAATCCCCCCAATGTCCCCAATGTCCCCCCAATGTCCCCAATGTCCCCAATGTCCCCCCAATCCCCCCAATGTCCCCAATGTCCCCAAATGTCCCCAATGTCCCCAATTGCCCCCATGTCCCCAATGTCCCCAACCCCCCAGTGTCCCCAATGTCCCCGATCCCCCCAAATGTCCCCAATCCCCCCAAGGCCCCCAAATGTCCGAAATCCCCCCAAATGTCCCCAATGTCCCCCCAAATGTCCCCAAATCCCCCCAGCCCCCCCATACCTGCTGCAGGTACCGGGCCAGCTCCGCGCCGATGTCCCCATCAATGTCCCCACCGATGTCCCCACTGTCCCCATCGGTGTCCCCAGTGTCCCCAATGTCCCCAGTGTCCCCAATGTCCCAAATGCCCCCAAATGTCCTCAATGCCTCCAACACCCCAAATGTCCCCAATGTCCCCAATGTCCCCAATGTCCCCAATGTCCCCAATGTCCCCAATGTCCCCAATGCCACCAACACCCCCAATGCCACCAACACCCTCAAATGTCCCCAAATGTCCCCAATCCCCTCAATGTCCCAAATGTCCCAATCTCCCCAAATCCCCCCAAATGTCCCCAAATGTCCCCATACCTGCTGCAGGTACCGTGCCAGCTCCGCGCCGATGTCCCCATCGGTGTCCCCACTGATGTCCCCAATGTCCCCAATGTCCCCAATGTCCCCAATGCCACAAACACCCCCAAATGTCCCCAATGCCACCAACACCCCCAATGTCCCCAATGTCCCCAATGTCCCCAATCCCCCAAATGTCCCCGATGTCCCCAATCCCCCCAATGCCACCAACACCCTCAATGTCCCCCAATGTCCCCAATCCCCCCAATGTCCCCAATCCCCCCAATGTCCCCAATTCCCCCAATGTCCCCAATCCCCCCAATGTCCCCAATCCCCCCAATGCCACCAACACCCTCAATGTCCCCCAATGTCCCCAATCCCCCCAATGTCCCCAATCCCCCCAATGTCCCCAATCCCCCCAATGTCCCCAATCCCCCCAATGTCCCCAATCCCCCCAATGTCCCCAATCCCCCCAATGTCCCCAATGTCCCCAATGCCACCAACACCCCCAATGTCCCCAAATGTCCCCATACCTGCTGCAGGTACCGTGCCAGCTCCGTACCAATGTCCCCATCGATGTCCCCATCGGTGTCCCTGTCAATGTCCCCATCGGTGTCCCCAGTGTCCCCAGTGTCCCCAAGGACTCCGTCCAGCTCCAGGCTCCGGATGCTCCTGGCCGGGATCGTCCTGAGGAGCCGCCGCAGCCCCGCCCGGCCCAGGTGGTTGTAGGACAGGGCCAGGCTCTGCAGAGGGGTCGTGTCTGCGGAAAAATGGGAATTATTCCCAAAATATTCCCAAGGTTTTACAACATTCACAATTTTCCCATAAAATTCCCAATTTTTCCCCGCAAAATTTGCATTTTTCCCCATAAAAATCCCATTTTTTCCCATAAAATTCTGATTTTTTTCTCAAATTTCCAGCATTTTCCCCCCAAAATTCTGATTTTTTTCCCCAAAAATTCAATTTTCCCAACATTCCCAGGATTTCCCCATAATTCCCAATTTTTCACCCAAAAATTCACATTTTTCCACAAAATTCCCATTTTTCCCATAAAATTCTGATTTTTTTCCAAAATTTCCAGTATTTTTCCCAAAAAAATTTGATTTTTCTTGCCAAAAATTTAATTTTCCCAAAATTCCCACATTTTCCCCATAAAATTCTGAGTTTTCCACCAAAAATCCCAATTTGCCCCCAAAATTCCCAATTTTCCCACCAAAATTCCCAATTTTCCCCCAGATTTCCCCCTGTTTCCCCCAGCGGGTTGTAGGACAGGGCCAGGCTCTGCAAAGGGGTCACCTCTGGGGGAAAAATGGGAATTATTTCCAATATTCCCAGGATTTTACAACATTCCCAATTTTCCCATAAAAATCCCAGCTTTTTTCAAAAAATCCCAGCTTTTTTCCCATAAAATTCCCATTTTTTTCCCATAAAATTCTGATTTTTTTCCTAAATTCCCTACATTTTTCTCCCAAAAATTCTGATTTTTTTTGCCCAAAATTCCCAAGTTTTTCCCATAAAATTTCCATTTTCCCTACAATTTTCCAGCATTTTCCGATAAATTGGTTTTTTTCCCAAAAATTCAGATTTCCCAACATTCCCAGGAATTCCCCAAAATTCCCCATTTTCCCCTCAAAATTCCTATAAAATTCTCATTTTTCCCCTAAATTTCCAGAATTTTTCCCAGAAAAATTCAGATTTTTTTCCCAAAAATTCAATTTTCCTAACATTAGCACGATTTCCCCCAAAATCCCAATTTTTCATAAAATTCCCAAATTTTCCCCCAAAATTCCATAATTTTTCCCATAAAATTTGCATTTTTCCTACAATTTTCCAGCATTTCCCATAAAAATTTTGATTTTTCTTCCCAAAAATTTAGTTTTCCCAAAATTCCCCAAATTCCCACATTTTCCCCATAAAATTCTGAGGTTTTCCCCAAAATTCCCAATTTTTCCACCAAAATTGCCGATTTTCCCCCAAATTCTCCCATAAATCCCCAATTTCCCCCCAGCGGGTTGTAGGACAGGGCCAGGCTCTGCAAAGGGGTCGTGTCTGCGGAAAAATGGGAATTATTTCCAATATTCCCAGGATTTTCCCAAATTCCCACATTGCCCCCCAAAATTCCCACCCTTTTCCAAAAAATCCCAACTTTTTCCCCATAAAAATCCCATTTTTTCCCATAAAATTCTGATTTTTTCCCCTAAATTTCCAGGATTTTTCTCCCCAAAAATTCAGATTTTTTTCCCAAAAATTCAATTTTCCCAACATTCCCAGGTTTTCCCCAAATTCCCAATTTTCCCCCCCAAATTCCCACAAAAGTCTCATTTTTTCCCGAAATTCCCAGCATTTTCCCTTAAAATTTCAATTTTTCTTCCCAAAAATTTAATTTTCCCAAAATTCCATGTTTTTTCCCATAAAATTTAGATTTTTCCCCAAAAATTCCCAATTTTCCATAAAATTCCCGAATTTCCCCCAAAAATTTGCATTTTTCCCCATAAAATTCACATTTTTCTCTAATCTCTAATTTTCCAGTATTTTTCCCTCAAAATTTCGATTTTTCGTCCCAAAAATTTAATTTTCCCAAAATTCCCAATTTTTCCCCCAAAATTCTCACATTTTCCCCATAAAATTCTGATTTTTCCCCCAAAATTCCCAATTTTCCCCCAAATTTTCCCATAAATTCCCAATTTCCCCCAGCGGGTTGTAGGACAGGGCCAGGCTCTGCAAAGGGGTCGTGTCTGCGGAAAAATGGGAATTATTCCCAAGATTTTACACAATTCCCAAAATTCCCAATTTTCCCAAAAAATCCCCACCCTTTTCCAAGAAATCCCCACTTTTTTCCCATTAAAATCCCAATTTTTCACCCAAAAAGTCGCATTTTTGCACAAAAAAATCTCATTTTTTCCCCAAATTCCCAGCATTTTTCTCCCCAAAAATTCAGATTTTTTTCCCAAAAGTTCAATTTTCCCAAAATTTCCAAGGTTTTCCCATAAAATTCCCATTTTCCACAAAAAATTCCCAATTTTCCCCCCAAAATTCCCAATTTTCCCCCAAATTCCCACAAAATTCTCATTTTCCCATAAATTCCCAGCATTTTCTCCCCAAAATTCTGATTTTTTTTCCCAAAAATTCAATTTTCCCAACATTCCCAGGATTTCCCCAAAATTCCCAATTTTCCCCCGCAAAAATTCCCATAAAATTCCCAATTTTGCCCCCAAAATTGGCATTTTTCCCTATAAAATTCCCATTTCCCCCCAAATTTCCAGCATTTTTCTCCCCAAAAATTCTGACTTTTTTTCCCAAAAATTCAATTTTCCCAACATTCCCAGAATTTCCCCAAAATTCCCTTTTTTTCCACCAAAATTCCCAATTTTTTCCCACCAAAAATCCCATAAAATTCTCATTTTTCCCGGAAAAATTCAGATTTTTTTCCCCAAAAATTCATTTTTCCCAACATTCCCAGGATTTCCCCAAAATTCCCAATTTTTCCACCAAGACTCCCATTTTCCCCCATAAAATTCTGATTTTTCCCCAAAATTTCCAGCATTTTTCCCAAAAAACCTCATTTTTTCGTCCCAAAATTTTGATTTTCCAAAAATTCCCAAAACTCCCACATTTTCCCCATAAAATTCTGAGTTTTTCCCCAAAATTCCCAGTTTTTCATAAAATTCCCAAATTTCCCCCCAAAATTCCCACATTTTCCCCATAAAATTCTTATTTTTCCCCAAATTTCCAGCATTTCCCATGAAAATTTCGATTTTTCTTCCTAAAAATTTAATTTTCCCAAAATTCCACGTTTTTTCCCATAAAATTTAGATTTTTCCCCAAAAATTCCCAATTTTCCATAAAATTCCTAAATTTTCCTCCAAAATTCCCAAGTTTTTCCCATAAAATTTGCATTTTTCCCCCCAAATTTCCAGCATTTTTCCCTCAAAGTATTGATTTTTTCCGCCAAAAATTAAATTTTCCCAAATCCCCAAAAATCCCACATTTTTCCCCCAAAATTCCCAATTTCCCATAAAATTCCCAATTTTTCCCCCCAAAATTCCCATTTTTCCCCTAAAATTCTGATTTTTTTTCCCAAAATTTACAGAATTTTTCTCCCCCAAAATTCTGATTTTTTTCCTCAAATTCCCAACTTTTTCCCCCAAAATTCCCAATTTTTCCAAAATTCCCAATTTTTTCCCCAAAAATTCCCAATTTTTTCACCGAGTGACCCTGAGTGACCCTGAGTGACCAGTGAGTGACCCCGAGTGACCAATGAGTGACCCTGAGTGACCAATGAGTGACCAATGAGTGACCCTGAGTGACCAATGAGTGACCAATGAGTGACCCTGAGTGACCAATGAGTGACCAATGAGTGACCCTGAGTGACCCTGAGTGACCCTGAGTGACCAATGAGTGACCACTGAGTGACCAATGAGTGACCCCGAGTGACTCTGAGTGACCAATGAGTGACCAATGAGTGACCACTGAGTGACCAATGAGTGACCAATGAGTGACCCTGAGTGACCCCTGAGTGACCAATGAGTGACCAATGAGTGACCAATGAGTGACCCTGAGTGACCAATGAGTGACCCCGAGTGACTCTGAGTGACCAATGAGTGACCAATGAGTGACCACTGAGTGACCAATGAGTGACCAATGAGTGACCCTGAGTGACCCCTGAGTGACCAATGAGTGACCAATGAGTGACCCTGAGTGACCCTGAGTGACCCTGAGTGACCAATGAGTGACCAATGAGTGACCCTGAGTGACCCTGAGTGACCCCTGAGTGACCAATGAGTGACCAATGAGTGACCAATGAGTGACCCTGAGTGACCCTGAGTGACCCTGAGTGACCCTGAGTGACCAATGAGTGACCCGAGTGACCCTGAGTGACCAATGAGTGACCCTGAGTGACCTTGAGTGACCCCGAGTGACCAATGAGTGACCAATGAGTGACCAATGAGTGACCAATGAGTGACCCTGAGTGACCCCTAACCCTGAGTGACCCTGAGTGACCAATGAGTGACCCTGAGTGACCCTGAGTGACCAATGAGTGACCAATGAGTGACCCTGAGTGACCCTGAGTGACCAATGAGTGACCCTGAGTGACCCTGAGTGACCCTGAGTGACCCTGAGTGACCAATGAGTGACCAATGAGTGACCCCTGAGTGACCCTAAGTGACCCTGAGTGACCCTGAGTAACCCTGAGTGACCAATGAGTGACCAATGAGTGACCCCTGAGTGACCCTGAGTGACCCTGAGTGACCCTGAGTAACCCTGAGTGACCAATGAGTGACCCTGAGTGACCAATGAGTGACCCTGAGTGACCCTGAGTGACCAATGAGTGACCCTAAGTGACCCTGAGTGACCAATGAGTGACCCCTGAGTGACCCCTGAGTGACCAATGAGTGACCCTGAGTGACCAATGAGTGACCCCGAGTGACCCTGAGTGACCAATGAGTGACCCTGAGTGACCAATGAGTGACCCCTGAGTGACCCTGAGTGACCAATGAGTGACCCTGAGTGACCCTGAGTGACCCTGAGTGACCCTGAGTGACCAATGAGTGACCCCTGAGTGACCCCTGAGTGACCCTGAGTGACCAATGAGTGACCAATGAGTGACCCTGAGTGACCCCGAGTGACCCCGAGTGACCCCTGACCCCGAGTGACCCCTGACCCACCTGGGATGGGGAATGGCCGGCTCAGGCCGCAGCTCCGGACGCGCAGAGTGACCAGTGCCGGACACTGTCCGAGCAGAGTGACCAGAGAGTGACCACCGGTGTCCCCCAGCGGGGTCAGGCTGAGGTCCAGCTCCTGCAGGGCCTGAGTGACCAGAGAGTGACCACTGAGTGACCACTGACCACTGAGTGACCAGTGAGTGAGAACTGACCACTGAGTGACCACTGAGTGACCAGAGAGTGACCACTGAGTGACCACTGACCACTGAGTGACCACTGAGTGACCAGTGAGTGACCACCGGTGTCCCCCAGCGGGGTCAGGCTGAGGTCCAGCTCCTGCAGGGCCTGAGTGACCACTGAGTGACCACTGAGTGACCAGTGACCGGAGAGTGACCGGGGAGTGACCACTGAGTGACCACTGACCACTTAGTGACCAGAGAGTGACCACTGAGTGACAACTGAGTGACCAGTGACCACTGAGTGACCAATGAGTGACCACTGAGTGACCAGAGAGTGACCAGTGAGTGACCAGTGAGTGACCACTGACCACTGAGTGACCCTGAGTGACCCTGAGTGAGAACTGACTACTGAGTGACCACTGAGTGACCACTTACCACTGAGTGACCACTGACCACTGAGTGACCAGTGACCACAGAGTGACCAGAGCGTGACCACTGAGTGACCCCTGAGTGACCAGTGACCACTGAGTGACCACTGACCACTGAGTGACCCTGAGTGACCACTGAGTGACCACTGAGTGACCAACGAGTGACCACTGAGTGACCATTGAGTGACCACCAGTGTCCCCCAGCGGGGTCAGGCTGAGGTCCAGCTCCTGCAGGGCCTGAGTGACCAGAGAGTGACCACTGAGTGACCAGTGACCACTGAGTGACCAGAGAGTGACCACTGACCACTGAGTGACCACCGGTGTCCCCCAGCGGGGTCAGGCTGAGGTCCAGCTCCTGCAGGGCCTGAGTGACCAGAGAGTGACCACTGAGTGACCACTGAGTGACCACTGAGTGACCACTGAGTGACCACTGACCACTGAGTGACCACTGAGTGACCACTGAGTGACCACTGAGTGACCACTGACCACTGAGTGACCAGTGAGTGACCACCAGTGTCCCCCAGCGGGGTCAGGCTGAGGTCAAGCTCCTGCAGGGCCTGAGTGACCAGAGAGTGACCAGAGAGTGACCACTGAGTGACCACTGACCACTGAGTGACCAGAGAGTGACCACTGACCACTGAGTGACCCCAGAGTGACCAGTGAGTGACCACTGACCACTGAGTGACCACTGAGTGACCAGTGAGTGACCACTGACCACTGAGTGACCACTGAGTGACCATTGACCACTGAGTGACCAGAGAGTGACCACCGGTGTCCCCCAGCGGGGTCAGGCTGAGGTCCAGCTCCTGCAGGGCCTGAGTGACCAGTGAGTGACCACTGAGTGACCACTGACCACTGAGTGGCCAGAGAGTGACCACTGAGTGACCAGTGAGTGACCACCGGTGTCCCCCAGCGGGGTCAGGCTGAGGTCCAGCTCCTGCAGGGCCTGAGTGACCACTGAGTGACCACTGAGTGACCAGTGACCGGAGAGTGACCGGGGAGTGACCACTGAGTGACCACTGACCACTTAGTGACCAGAGAGTGACCACTGAGTGACAACTGAGTGACCAGTGACCACTGAGTGACCAATGAGTGACCACTGAGTGACCAGAGAGTGACCAGTGAGTGACCAGTGAGTGACCACTGACCACTGAGTGACCCTGAGTGACCCTGAGTGAGAACTGACTACTGAGTGACCACTGAGTGACCACTTACCACTGAGTGACCACTGACCACTGAGTGACCAGTGACCACAGAGTGACCAGAGCGTGACCACTGAGTGACCCCTGAGTGACCAGTGACCACTGAGTGACCACTGACCACTGAGTGACCCTGAGTGACCACTGAGTGACCACTGAGTGACCAACGAGTGACCACTGAGTGACCATTGAGTGACCACCAGTGTCCCCCAGCGGGGTCAGGCTGAGGTCCAGCTCCTGCAGGGCCTGAGTGACCAGAGAGTGACCACTGAGTGACCAGTGACCACTGAGTGACCAGAGAGTGACCACTGACCACTGAGTGACCACCGGTGTCCCCCAGCGGGGTCAGGCTGAGGTCCAGCTCCTGCAGGGCCTGAGTGACCAGAGAGTGACCACTGAGTGACCACTGAGTGACCACTGAGTGACCACTGAGTGACCACTGACCACTGAGTGACCACTGAGTGACCACTGAGTGACCACTGAGTGACCACTGACCACTGAGTGACCAGTGAGTGACCACCAGTGTCCCCCAGCGGGGTCAGGCTGAGGTCAAGCTCCTGCAGGGCCTGAGTGACCAGAGAGTGACCAGAGAGTGACCACTGAGTGACCAGTGACCACTGAGTGACCACTGAGTGACCACTGACCACTGAGTGACCACTGAGTGACCACTGAGTGACCACTGACCACTGAGTGACCACTGAGTGACCACTGACCACTGAGTGACCACTGAGTGACCACTGAGTGACCACTGAGTGACCACTGACCACTGAGTGACCACTGAGTGACCAGTGACCACTGAGTGACCACTGAGTGACCACTGAGTGACCACTGAGTGACCACTGACCACTGAGTGACCACTGAGTGACCACTGAGTGACCAGTGACCACTGAGTGACCACTGAGTGACCAGTGACCACTGAGTGAGAACTGACCACTGAGTGACCAGAGAGTGACCAGTGAGTGACCACTGAGTGACCACTGAGTGACCACTGACCACTGAGCGACCCTGAGTGACCACTGAGTGACCACTGTGTGACCACTGACCACTGAGTGACCAGAGAGTGACCAGTGAGTGACCACTGAGTGACCACTGAGTGACCAGTGACCGCTGAGTGACCACTGAGTGACCAGTGAGTGACCACTGACCACTGAGTGACCACTGAGTGACCGGTGAGTGACCACTGAGTGACCAGAGAGTGACCACTGACCACTGAATGACCACTGAGTGACCAGAGAGTGACCAGTGACCACTGAGTGACCATTGAGTGACCACCAGTGTCCCCCAGCGGGGTCAGGCTGAGGTCCAGCTCCTGCAGGGCCTGAGTGACCAGAGAGTGACCACTGAGTGACCACTGAGTGACCACTGACCACTGAGTGACCAGTGACCACTGAGTGACCACTGAGTGACCACTGACCACTGAGTGACCAGAGAGTGACCAGAGAGTGACCACTGACCACTGAGTGACCAGTGAGTGACCAGACAGTGACCACTGAGTGACCACTGAGTGACCAGTGAGTGACCATTGACCACTGAGTGACCACCGGTGTCCCCCAGCGGGGTCAGGCTGAGGTCCAGCTCCTGCAGGGCCTGAGTGACCAGAGAGTGACCACTGAGTGACCAGAGAGTGACCAATGGCCACTGAGTGACCCTGAGTGACCATTAAGTGACAATTTAGTGACCACTGAGTGACCACTGAGTGACCATTAAGTGACCACTGAATGACCAGTGACCACTGAGTGACCACTGAGTGACCACTGAGTGACCCTGAGTGACCACTGAGTGAGAACTGACCACTGAGTGACCACTGAGTGACCAGAGAGTGACCAGTGAGTGACCACTGACCACTGAGTGACCACTGAGTGACCAGAGAGTGACCACTGAATGACCAGTGACCACTGAGTGACCACTGAGTGACCACTGAGTGACCAGAGAGTGACCACCGGTGTCCCCCAGCGGGGTCAGGCTGAGGTCCAGCTCCTGCAGGGCCTGAGTGACCAGAGAGTGACCCTGAGTGACCACTGAGTGACCAGAGAGTGACCAGAGAGTGACCACTGACCACTGACCATTGAGTGACCCTGAGTTACCCTGAGTGACCACTGAGTGACCACTGTCCACTGAGTGACCACTGAGTGACCCCTGAGTGACCCCTGAGTGACCAGTGAGTGACCACTGAGTGACCCTGAGTGACCCCTGAGTGACCCTGAGTGACCACTGAGTGACCCTGAGTGACCACTGAGTGACCAGTGCCACTGAGTGACCACTGAGTGACCATTAAGTGACCACTGAGTGATTTTTTGGGGTTTTTTTCTGCTTTTTGAGCTTTTTTGGGGGAGTTTTGCCTTTTTTGGGGATTTTTTTGCTTGGTTTGGTGTGGAATTTTGGCCATTTTTTTGGGATTTTTTTCTTGATTTTTTTGGGGATTTTGGCCATTTTTGGCGATTTTTTTCTCAATTTTTTGGGGGGATTTTGGCCCTTTTTGGGGATTTTCTGTGTAATTTTTTGCCATTTTTTGGGGACTTTTTGGGGGATTTTTGCAGTTTCTGGTGGATTTTTGTGGCATTTTTATGGGATATTTGGAAGAATTTTTGTGGGATTTTTTTGTGATTTTTCTCATTTTTTGAGCTTTTTTTGGAGATTTTTTTGGGGGATTTTTTGCCATTTCTCGGGCAATTTTTCTGGGGATTTTTCCCATTTTTTGAGACATTTTTCCCTTTTTTTGGGGGATATTTTCCCATTTTTGGAGCCATTTTTTGGGACATTTTTCCCATTTTTTGGCAATATTCTTCCCATTTTTTTGGGGTATTTTTCCCATTTTTTGAGCCATTGTTTGGAGGACTTTTTGGAGCTTTTTTGGGGTGGATTTTCCCCAGTTTTTTGGGGCATTTTTCCCATTTTTTGAGCTATTTTTTAAGTGCTTTTCCCCATTTTTTTGCGCTATTTTTCCCATTTTTGGGGGCATTTTTCCCATTTTTTGAGCCATTTTTTTGCGCTATTTTTCCCATTTTTTGAGCCATTTTGGGGGGGATTTGTCCCATTTTTGGGGGAATTTTTCCCATTTTTTGAGCCATTGTTTGGAGGATTTTTCCCATTTTTGGAGCTTTTTTTGGGGGGATTAGCACCATTTTTTCAGATACTTTTCCCATTTTTGGAGCTATTTTTTTAAAGATTTTTCCCATTTTTTTGTGCTATTTTTTGCATTTTTGGGGGCATTTTTCACATTTTTTGAGCCCTCTTTTGCACTATTTTTTCCATTTTTTGGGGTGTTTTTCCCATTTTTTGAGCCATTTTTTTGCGCTATTTTTCCCATTTTTGGGGGGGGGATTTTTCCCATTTTTGGAGCCATTTTTGGGGGGATTTTTCCCATTTTTGGAGCCATTTTTTGGGAGATTTTCCCCATTTTGGGGGGGATTTTCCCCAGTTTTTAAGCCACTTTTGGAGCCATTTTCAAGGGGATTTTTCCAATTTTTTGAGCCATTTTTTGGGAGATTTTCCCCATTTTTTGGGAGCGTTTCCCCATTTCTGGGGGGGATTTTTCCCATTTTTTGAGCCATTTTTGGAGCCATTTTGGGGTATTTTCCCATTTTTGAGCCATTTTTTGGGAGATTTTTCCCATTTTTTGAGCTATTTTTTTGTGATATTTTCCCCATTTTAGGGGGGATTTTTCCCATTTTTGAAGCCATTTTTTGGGAGATTTTTCCCAGTTTTTGAGCCATTTTTTGTGATATTTTCCCCATTTTTTGGGAGACTTTTCCCATTTTTCGAGCCATTTTTTTGCACTATTTTTCCCATTTTTGGGGGATTTTGTGCATTTTTGGGGGGATTTTTCCCAATTTTTGAGCCATTTTTGGGGCATTTTTCCCATTTTTTAAGCCATTTTTTGAGCCATTTTCAAGGGTATTTTTCCCCTTTTTTTCAGCCATTTTTCCCATTTTTAGAGCCATTTTTTTGCGCTATTTTTCCCATTTTTGGGGGGGATTTTTCCCATTTTTTCAGCCATTTTTTTGCGATATTTTCCCCATTTTTTGAACCATTTTTTTGCGATATTTTTCCCATTTTTGGGGGGATTTTTCCCAATTTTTGAGCCATTTTTGGGGGGATTTTTCCCATTTTTTGATCCATTTTTGGGGACATTTTCCCCATTTTTTTGCGCTATTTTTCCCATTTTTATGCCATTTCTTAGCCATTTTTTGGTATTTTTTTGAGATTTTTTCCCCGCTCACCTGCAGCGTCCCCGCAGCACCAGCAATGCTGCGTATTCCGGCGGCTCCAATGCAGCTCCCGTGCAGCCGCAGGCGGGCGAGGCGCGGCAGCGCCGCCAGCGCCATCCCCAGCTCGGCGCCGCTTTTGGGGCATTTTGGCCTTTTTTGGGGGCGATTTTGGGGGAATTTTTGCCGTTTAGTGGAGGATTTTTGGGGGATTTTTTTGGGGGAATTTTTGCATTTTTTGGGATTTTTTGGGGATTATTTAGGGTTTTTTTACCATTTTTTGAGAGCCTTTTCCTGCGATTTTTGCCATTTCTCAGGCAATTTCTCTGGGGATTTTTCCCATTTTTGGAGCCATTTTGAGGGGGATTTGTCCCATTTTTTGGGGTATTTTTCCCATTTTTTGAGACATTTTTTCCCTTTTTTTAAAGATATTTTTCCCATTTTTTGAGCCATTTTTTGGGACATTTTTCCCATATTTTTGCAATATTTTTTCCATTTTTGGGGGGATTTTTCCCATTTTTGGAGCCATTTTTTGGGACATTTTTCCCATTTTTTGGGGTATTCTTCCCATTTTTTGGGGGTATTTTTCCCTTTTTTTTTTGCGATATTTTTCCCATTTTTGGGGGGATTTTTCCCAGTTTTGGAGCAATTTTTTGGGAGAGTTTTCCCATTTTTTGAGCCATTTTTTGCACTATTTTTCCCATTTTTGGGGGATTTTTTGCATTTTTGGGGGGATTTTTCCCATTTTTTGAGCCATTTTTGGGGAATTTTTCCCATTTTTTAAGCCATTTTTTGAGCCATTTTCAAGGGGATTTTTCCCATTTTTTGGGACATTTTTCCCATTTTTTGAGCCATTTTTTTACGATATTTTCCCCATTTTTTGGGGTATTTTTCCAATTTTTTGATCCCATTTTTGGGGGGATTTTTCCCATTTTTTGAGCTTTTTTTGGGTGGATTTTCCCCAGTTTTTTGGGGCATTTTTCCCATTTTCTGAGCTATTTTTTGAACGCTTTTCCCCATTTTTTTGCACTATTTTTCCCATTTTTTGGGAGACTTTTCCCATTTTTTGAGCAATTTTTTTGCGCTATTTTTCCCATTTTTGGGAAGATTTTTCCTACTTTTTGAGCCATTTTTTGGGACATTTTCCCCATTTTTTGATGACATTTTTCCCATTTTTCGAGCCATTTTTTTACGATATTTTCCCCATTTTTTGGGGTATTTTTCCAATTTTTTGATCCCATTTTTGGGGGGATTTTTCCCATTTTTTGAGCTTTTTTTGGGTGGATTTTCCCGAGTTTTTTGGGGCATTTTTCCCATTTTCTGAGCTATTTTTTGAACGCTTTTCCCCATTTTTTTGCGCTATTTTTTCCATTTTTTGGGAGACTTTTCCCATTTTTTGAGCCATTTTTTTGTGATATTTTTCCCATTTTTTGGGAGACTTTTCCCATTTTTTGAGCCCTTTTTTTGCGATATTTTCCCCATTATTTGGGGGATTTTTCCCATTTTCTGAGCCATTTTTTGGGGTATTTTCCCCGTTTTTGGGAGATTTTTCCCATTTTTAAGCCATTTTGGGGGGGATTTTTCCCCTTTTCGAGCCATTTTTTTGCGATATTTTCCCCATTTTTTGAGCCATTTTTTTGCGATATTTTTACCATTTTGGGGGTATTTTTCCCATTTTTTGAGCCATTTTTTGGGGGATTTTCCCCCTTTTTTCAGCCAATTTTTTGCGACATTTTTCCCATTCTTTGAGACATTTTTCCCATTTTTGGAGCCATTTTGGGGGGGATTTTTCCCATTTTTTGAGCCATTTTTTTGCGCTATTTTTCCCATTTTTTGGGGGTATTTTTCCCATTTTTTGAGCCATTTTTGGGGGGATTTTTCCCATTTTCTGAGCCACTTTTTGGGACATTTTTCCCATTTTTTAGGGTATTTTTCCCATTTTCTGAGCCATTTTTGGTGGGATTTTCCCCATTTTTTGGGGGTATTTTTCCCACTTTTGGAGCCATTTTTTTGCGCTATTTTTCCCATTTTTTGCCATTTTTTTGAGATTTCTTCCCCACTCACCTGCAGCGTCCCGGCAGTACCAGCAATGCTGCGTATGCCGGCGGCTCCGATGCAGCTCCCGTGCAGCCGCAGGCGGGCGAGGCGCGGCAGCGCCGCCAGCGCCATGCCCAGCTCGGCTGCGTCGGCGTCCCCGAGGCTGCGCTGGTGCAGCCGCAGCTCCCGCAGCTCCTCCTGCGCCCGCAGCGCCCGCAGCAGCGCCCGCAGCTGCAGCCGCCGCAGCGACAGCCCCGCCGGCACCTCCAGCGCCCCGCACGCGGCCTGCAGCCGCAGCAGCTGCAGCAGCGCCTGCGACGGGGCTGCGGGAGGGGGAAAAATGGGAGTTTTGGGGGGGTTTTGGGGAAAATTTGGGAATTTTGGGGTAAATATGGGATTTTTGCAGAAATTTTGGGAATTTTAAGGGGAAATTTGGGGATTTTGGGTGGGAAAATGGAATTTTTGGGGGGATTTTGGGGAAAATTTGGGGAGAAAAATGGGATTTTTAGGGGGAAAATGGGATTTTTGGGAGGAAATGGGATTTTGGGGGGGAAAATGGGATTTGGGGAGGAAAAATGGGATTTTTGGGGGGATTTTGGGGGAAATTTAGGGAGAAATTTGGGGTTTTGGAGAGAAAAATTGGGATTTTGGGGAGAAAAATGAGATTTTTGGGGGATTTTGGGATTTTTTGGGGGAAAATGGGATTTTTTGAAGGGAAATGGGATTTTTTGGGGGAAAATGGGATTTTGAGGGGGGAAATGGGATTTTTGCAGGAAAAATGGGATTTGCGGGAAAAAATGGGATTTTTGGGGGGAAAAATGGGATTTTGGGGGGGAAAATGGGATTTTTTGGGGGGGAAAATGGGATTTTTTGGGGGGGAAAATGGGATTTCGGAAGGAAAAATGTTATTTTTTAGGGGATTTTGGAGGGGACGTTTTTGGATTTTTGAGGGAATTTTGCGGAGATTTTTGGAGAATTTCTGTGGGATTTTGGAGAGGATTTTTAGGGGATTTTTGGGGGATTTTTGGGGGACTTTTGGGGTGAATTTTGGGGTGAATTTTGGGGTGAGTTTTTGGGAATTTCTGTGGGATTTTGGGGGGATTTTGGAGGGGATTTTTGGGGATTTTGGGGGGATTTTTGGGGGATTTTTGGGGGATTTTTGGGGTGAATTTTGTGGAGATTTTTGTGGAATTTCTGTGGGATTTTGGAGTGGATTATGGGGAATTTCAGGGGGATTTTTTGGGGGATTTTTTTAGGATTTTGGGGGGGAATTTTTAGGGAATTTGGGGAGATTTTTGGGGAATTTTGGGGGTGATTTTAGGGAGTTTGAAGAGAATTTTAGGGAATTCTGGGCGGATTTTGGAGGGGAGTTTTTTGGATTTTTGAGGGAATTTTGTGGAGATTTTTTGGGAATTTCTGTGGGATTTTGGGGAGATTTTGGAGGGGATTTTTGGGGGGATTTTTGGGGGACTTTTGAGGGGATTTGGGGGAATTTTCGAGAAAATTTGGGGAAATTTTTGAGGAATTCTGGGGTTCTTTTAGGGGTGATTTTAGGGAGTTTGAGGGGAATTTTAGGGGAATTTTGGTGAGATTTTTGGGGAATTCCGGGAGGATTTTGGAGGGGATTTTTGGGTGATTTTTTTGGAATTTTGGGGGGAATTTTTTTTTTATTTTTGGGGTGAATTTTGGGGAGATTTTTGGGGAATTTCTGTGGGATTTTGGAGGGGATTTTTAGGGGATTATGGGGAATTTCAGGGGGATTTTTTTTGGGGATTTTTTTAGGATTTTGGGGGGAATTTTGGGGAAATTTTGGGGTGAATTTTTGGGGGACTTTTGAGCGGATTTGGAGTAAATTTAGAGAAAATTTGGGGAGATTTTTGGGGAATTTTGGGGAGATTCTGGGGTGAATTTTTGAGGGACTTTTGAGGGGATTTGGGGAGATTTTTGAGGAATTTTGGGGGTGTTTTGGGGGCAATTTTAGGGAGTTTGAAGGGAATTTTAGGGGAATTTTGGGTGATTTTTGGGGAATTCCGGGAGGATTTTAGGATGATTTTTTAGGAATTTTAGGGGGATTTTGGAGGGGAGTTTTTTGGATTTTTGAGGGAATTTTGTGGAGATTTTTGGGGAATTTCTGGGGGATTTTGGGGAGATTTTGGAGGGGATTTTTGGGTGATTTTTTTGGAATTTTGGGGGGATTTTGGAGGGAAGTTTTTTTTATTTTTGAGGGAATTTTGTGGAGATTTTTGGGGAATTTCTGTGGGATTTTGGGGGGATTTTGGAGGGGATTATGGGGAATTTTAGGGGGATTTTTTTGGGGGATTTTTTTAGGATTTTTGGGGGGAATTTTGGGGAGATTTTGGGGTGAATTTTTGGAGGACTTTTGAGGGAATTTGGGGAGATTTTTGGGGAATTTTGGGGGTATTTTAGGGGCAATTTTAGGGAGTTTGAAGGGAATTTTAGGGGAATTTTGGGGAGATTTTTGGGGAATTCCGGGAGGATTTTGGAGAGGATTTTTGGGTGATTTTTTTTGGAATTTTGGGGAGATTTTTTGAGAATTCCGGGAGGATTTTGGAGAGGATTTTTTGGGGATTTTAGGGTGATTTTTTTGGAATTTTGGGGGGAATTTGGAGGGGAGTTTTTTGGATTTTTGAGGGAATTTTGTGGAGATTTTTGTGGAATTTCTGTGGGATTTTGGAGGGGATTTTGGGGGGGATTTTTGGGGGACTTTTGAGGGGATTTGGGGGAATTTTCGAGAAAATTTGGGGAAACTTTTGAGAAATTCTGGTGGTGTTTTAGGGGCGATTTTAGGGAGTTTGAAGGGAATTTTAGAGGAATTTTGGGGAGATTTTGGGGGAATTCCGGGCAGATTTTGGAGAGGATTTTTGGGGGATTTTTTTGGAATTTTGGAGAGATTTTGGAGGGGATGTTTTTGGATTTTTGAGGGAATTTTGTGGAGATTTTTGTGGAATTTCTGTGGGATTTTGGAGGGGATTTTTAGGGGATTATGGGGAATTTCAGGGGAATTTTTTTGGGGGATTTTTTTAGGATTTTTGGGGGGGAATTTTGGGGAGATTTTGGGGTGAATTTTTGGGGGAATTTTTGAGAAAATTTGGGGAGATTTTTGAGGAATTTTGGGGGTATTTTGGGGGTGAATTTAGGGAGTTTGAAGGGAATTTTAGGGGAATTTTGGGGAGATTTTTGGGGAATTCTGGGAGGATTTTGGAGAGGATTTTTGGGGGATTTTAGGGTGATTTTTTTTGAATTTTGGGGAGATTTTGTAGGGGAGTTTTTTTGATTTTTGGGGTGAATTTTGGGGGGATTTTGGAGGGAATTTTTTTGGATTTTTGGTGTGAATTTTGGGGAGATTTTTGGGGAATTTTCACGGAATTTTGGGGGGATTTGGGAGAAGTTTTAAGGAATTTTGGGGAGATTTTTAAGGAATTTTTGGGGGGAATTTGGAGAGAATTTTTGGGAGATTTTTGGGGATTCCAGGCGGATTTTGGACAGGAGTTTTTTGGATTTTTGGGGTGAATTTTGGGGAGATTTTTGTGGAATTTTGGGGAATTCCAGGAGGATTTTGGAGGGGATTATTTGGGGGATTTTAGGATGACTTTTTAGGAATTTTGGGGGGATTTTGGAGGGGATTTTTTTGGATTTTTGAGGGAATTTTGGGGGGATTTTGGAGGGGATTTTTGGGGATTTTGAGGGGATTATGGGGAATTTGAGGGGGATATTTTGGGGGAATTTTTTAGGAATTTTGAGGGGAATTTTGGGGAAATTTTGGGGTGAATTTTTGGGGGACTTTTGAGCGGATTTGGAGTAAATTTAGAGAAAATTTGGGGAGATTTTTGGGCAATTTTGGGGAGATTCTGGGGTGAATTTTTGAGGGACTTTTGAGGGGATTTGGGGAGATTTTTGAGGAATTTTGGGGGTGTTTTAGGGGCGATTTTAGGGAGTTTGAAGGGAATTTTAGGGGAATTTTGGGGAGATTTTTGGGGAATTCCGGGAGGATTTTGGAGGGGATTTTTGGGGGATTTTAGGATGATTTTTTTGGAATTTTGGGGGGATTTTGGAGGGGAGTTTTTTGGATTTTTGAGGGAATTTTGTGGAGATTTTTGTGGAATTTCTGTGGGATTTTGGGGGGGATTTTGGAGGGGATTTTTGGGGGGATTTTGGAGTGGATTATGGGGAATTTCAGGGGGATTTTTTGGGGGATTTTTTTAGGATTTTGGGGGGGAATTTTTAGGGAATTTGGGGAGATTTTTGGGGAATTTTGGGGGCGATTTTAGGGAGTTTGAAGAGAATTTTAGGGGAATTTTGGGGAGATTTTTGGGGATTCTGGGCGGATTTTGGAGGGGAGTTTTTTTGATTTTTGAGGAAATTTTGTGGAGATTTTTTGGGAATTTCTGTGGGATTTTGGGGAGATTTTGGCGAGGTTTTTGGGTGATTTTTTTGGAATTCTGGGCGGATTTTGAGGGGAGTTTTTTTGATTGTTGAGGGAATTTTGTGGAGATTTTTGTGGAATTTCTGTGGGATTTCTGTGGGATTTTGGAGAGGATTTTTGGGGGGATTTTTGGGGATTTTGGAGCGGATTATGGGGAATTTCAGGGAGATTTTTTGGGGGATTTTTTTAGGATTTTTGGGGGGGAATTTTGGGGAGATTTTGGGGTGAATTTTTGGGGGACTTTTGAGGGGATTTGGGGAGATTTTTGGGGAATTTTGGGTTTATTTTGGGGGCAATTTTAGGGAGTTTGAAGGGAATTTTAGGGGAATTTTGGGGAATTCCGGGAGGATTTTGGAGGGGATTTTGGGGGATTTTAGGGTGATTTTTTTGGAATTTTGGGGGGATTTTGGAGGGGAGTTTTTTGGATTTTTGGGGTGACTTTTGGGGGGATTTTGGAGGGGAGTTTTTTTTGATTTTTGGGTTGAATTTTGGGGAGATTTTTTGGGAATTTTCGCGGAATTTTGGGGGGGTTTGGGAGAAGTTTTAAGGAATTTTTGGGGGGAATTTGGAGGGAATTTTTGGGAGATTTTTGGGGATTCCAAGTGGATTTTGGACAGGAGTTTTTTGGATTTTTGGGGTGAATTTTGGGGAGTTTTTTGTGGAATTTTGGGGAATTCCAGGAGGATTTTGGAGGGGATTTTTTGGGGGATTTTAGGATGATTTTTTTGGAATTTTGGGGGGATTTTGGAGGGGAGTTTTTTGGATTTTTGGGGTGAATTTTATAGAGATTTTTGGGGAATTTCTGTGGGATTTTGAAGAGGATTTTTGGGGATTTTGGAGCGGATTATGGGGAATTTAAGGGGGATTTTTTTGGGGGATTTTTTTAGGATTTTTGGGGGGAATTTTGGGGAGATTTTGGGATGAATTTTTAGGGGACTTTTGAGCGGATTTGGGGAGATTTTTGGGGAATTTTGGGGGGATTTTGGAGGCGAGTTTTTTTGATTTTTGGGGGTAAATTTTGGGGAGATTTTTTGGGAATTTTGGCAGAATTTTGGGGGGATTTTGGGGGGTGATTTGGGAGAATTTTTGAGGAATTTTTGGTAGATTTTTGGGGAATTTTTGGGGGAATTTGGAGGGAATCTTGGAGAGATTTTTGGGGCTTCCAGGCGGATTTTTTTGGATTTTTGGGGTGAATTTTGGGGAGATTTTTTGGGAATTTTGGGGACATTTTTTGGGGAATTTTGGAGGGGATTTTTGGGGATATTGAGGGGATTTTTGGGGGATTTTTGGGGGATTTTTGGGGGATTTTGGGGCTCACCCAGGCCCATGCTGGCGCAGATTCTCCGGTAACGCTCCGGGAGCGGCGGCAAATCCCAGCCCAGGATCTCGGCCTCCACCTGGAAATAGACCAAAAATCCACAAAAATCAGCCCAAAATTCCCCAAAATTCCCCAGAAATCACTCTAAAATGCCAAAAATCCCCGAAAATCCCCCAATTTTCCCAAAAACTCCCAAAAATTCCCAAAATTTCCCCAAAAATCCCCGAAATATTTTTAAAAAATCCCCCAAAATCCTTAAAAAATCCCAAAAATTCCCCAAAAATTCCCCGAAAAATTCTCCAAAATTCCAAAAAAAATCCCCCAAATTTCCAAAATTCCCCCAAAATCCCCCAAATTTCCCAAAAAATCCCAAAATTCCCCCAAAATCCCTCAAAATTCCTGAAAATTCTTCAAAAATTCCCGAAGTATTCCTGAAATTCCCAAAAAATCCCCCAAAATTTCCAAAAAATCACCAGAAATCCCTCTAAAAATCCCCAAAATCCCCGAAAAATCCCCCAAAATTCCTAAAATATTCCCCAAATCCCCCAAAATCCCTCTAAAACTCCCCCCAAAATCCCCCAAAATCATGCAAAATTCCCCAAAAAAAGCCAGAAAATCCTTTATAAATCCCCAAAAATCCCTCTAAAAATCCCCAAAAATCCCTCTAAAAACCCCCAAAAATCCCTCTAAAACCCCAAAAAATCCCCGAAAAATCCCGCAGAATTCACAAAAAAAAGCGAAAAGAACCCCAAAAATCCCTGAAAAAATTACAAAAATCCCCGAATAACCCCCCAAAATTCCCCAAAAATCCCCCAAAAATTCCCAAAATATTCCCGAAACATCCTCAAAAATCCCCAAAAATCCCGCAAAAGCCCTGAAATTCCAAAAATCTTCAAAAAATCCCCAAAAATTCCTCTAAAATGCCAAAAAATCCCCCCAAATCCCTGAAAAACTCCCCGAAAAATCCCCCAAAACCCCCAAAAAATCCCAAAAATCCCTCAAAAAACCCGAAAAATTCCCTGAAAAAATCCCAGAAATCCCTCAAAATCCCTCCAAAATCCCTCTAAAAACCCCCAAATTCCCCAGAATTCCCTCTAAAAACCTACAAAAATCCCCCCAAAACCGCCCAAAAAATCCCCCAAAATTCCCCAAAAGAAAGCCAAAAAATCCTCAAAAATCCCTCTAAAATCCCCCAAAATCCCTCTAAAAACCCCCCAAAATCCCCCCAAAAACTCCCCAAGAATCTCCCAAAATTCCCCCAAAAAAAGCCAAAAAATCCTCAAAAATCCCACTAAAATCCCCCAAAAATCCCTCTAAAAATCCCCCAAAGAATCTCCCAAAATTCCCCAAAATTCCCCAAAAATCCCTCCAAAACCCCCATAAACCCCTCTAAAAAAATCCTCAAAAATCCCAAAAATCCCTGAAAAATGCCCGAAAATCCCTAAAATATTCCCAAAAGCCCCCAAAAATCCCTCTAAAACCCCCAAAAATCCCTCTAAAATCCCCAAATATCCCTCTAAAACCCCCAAAAATCCCTCTAAAATCCCCAAAAATTCCCCAAAAATCCCCGCAAAAATCCCTCTAAAACCCCCAAAAATCCCTGTAAAAACCCCAAAAATCCCCCAAAATTCCCCCAAAATCCCTGAAAAAACCCCCCAAACCCCCCAAAATTCCCAAAAATCCCCAAAATCCCCCAATCCCCGTGTCGCACCTGGTCCCCGTCCCTGAGCAGGTGGGTGACTCTGTCCTGCGGCTCCAGCAGAGCCCCGGCCCGGCGCAGCCGCAGCTGCGGGCGGCTCCCGGCACCGCGGCTGAAGCGCTCCGCCGCCGCCGCGCACAGAGCCGAGATGCGCGCCGAGCTGCTAAAAATCAAATTATACATCACATTTATTACATTTAATCACATCTAATTTCTACAGATTAATGAGGGAATTTTTGGGGATTTTTTTCTGATTTTTTGGGGGATTTTTGGGGATTTTTTCGGATTTTTTGGGGATTTTTTGGGGGATTTTTGGGGATTTTTCGGGGATTTTTTTTGGGATTTTTGTGAATTTTATGCGGAATTTTTTGTGATTTTTTGTGATTTTTTTTCTGATTTTTTTGGAAATTTTTGGGGATTTTTTGGGATGTTTTTTCTGATTTTTTGTGAATCTTACGGGGGATTTTTTGTGAATTTTCCGGGATTTTTTGTGAATTTTCTGGGATTTTTTTGGTGAATTTTTGGGATTTTTTTCGAATTTTTTTCTGATTTTTTTGTGAATTTTACAGCAGATTTTTGGGGAATTTTTTGGGATTTTTTTGCTGAATTTTTGGGATTTTTTTGGGAATTTTTTGGGATTTTTTTGAGGTTTTTTGGTATTTTTTGGGGATTTTTTGTGGATTTCCTGGGATTTTTTGGTGAATTTTCTGGGATTTTTTCTGATTTTCACACAAATTTTACATGGGAATTTTGGTGAATTTTCTGGGATTATATTGTGAATTTTACAAAGGATTTTTGGTAAATCTTCTGGGATTTTTTTGTGAATTTTGGGGATTTTTTGGGATTTTTTGAGATTTTTTGGGGATGTTTTTTGCAATTTTTTTCTGATTTTTTGGGGTTTTTTTCTGATTTTTTTGTGAATTTTACCGGGCATTTTTGGTGAATTTTCGGGGATTTTTTGGTGAATTTTTGGTGGTATTTTTGGGATTTTTCGGGGGGATTTTTTGGGAGTGTTTTGGCCCTGCCGGGCTCCAGCAGCCGCAGCTGCGGGCGGCTCCCGGCACCGCGGCTGAAGCGCTCCGCCGCCGCCGCGCTCAGAGCCGAGATGCGCGCAGAGGAGCTGAAAATTAAATTATACATCAAATTTATCACATTAAATCAAATTTATATTACCGGGAATATGAGGGAAGTTTGGGGGATTTTACGGGGATTTTTTGGGGATTTTTTTCTGATTTTTTTGTAATTTTTTTCCTAATTTTCGTGATTTTTTTTCTCATTTTTTGGGATTTTTTTGGGGATTTTTTGTGATTTTTTTTGTGATTTTTTTGTGAATTTTACGGGGGATTTTTTCTGAATTTTTGGGGATTTTTGGGGATTTTTTTGGGGTTTTTTTGTGAAATTTTTGTGAATTTTTGAGATTTTTTTGGCTTTTTTGGGGGATTTTTTGGTAAATTTTTGTGAATTTTACCAGGAATTTTTGGTGAATTTTCTGGATTTTTTTTTGAGAATTTTGGGGATTTTTTTTGGGTTTTTTTCAGATTTTTTGGGATTTTTTTCTGATTTTTTGTTAATTTTTTGCGAATTTTTTGGATTTTTTTGCGAATTTTCTGGGATTTTTGGTGAATTTTCTGGAATTTTTGGGATTTTTTTGGTGAATTTTTGGGGGCATTTTTTGTGAATTTTCTGGGATTTTTTTGAGGATTTTTGGGATTTTTGGGGGGATTTTTTGGGGATTTTTTGGGATTTTTGGGGGATTTTTGGTGAATTTTTGGGGATTTTTTGGTGAATTTTTCGGGTTTTTTTCTGATTCTTTTCTGATTTTTTGTGAATTTTACAGGGGATTTTTGCTGAATTTTGGGGATTTTTTTTGCGATTTTTTTCTGATTTTTTGGGATTTTTTTCAGATTTTTTTGTGAATTTCACTGGGGATTTTTGGTGAATTTTGGGGGATGTTTTGTGAATGTTTGGTGGTATTTTTGGGATTTTTAGGGGGGATTTTTTGGGAGTGTTTTGGCCCTGCCGGGCTCCAGCAGCCGCAGCTGCGGGCGGCTCCCGGCACCGCGGCTGAAGCGCTCCGCCGCCGCCGCGCACAGACCGGAGATGCGCTCTGAGCTGCTAAAAATGCAGATTTTTATATCAAATTTATACAATTTAACCAAATCCAATTTTTACAGAATAATGGGGGGATTTTTGGGGAATTTTTTCTGATTTTTAGGGGGATTTTTTGGGATTTTTTCTGATTTTTTGGGATTTTTTTGGGGTTTTTTTGTGAATTTTACAGGGGATTTTTGGTGAATTTTCTGGGATTTTTTGTGAATTTTCTGGGATTTTTTGGAAATTTTTTGAGATTTTTTGGGATTTTTTTTCTGATTTTTTTGTGCATTTTACGAGGAATTTTTGGTGATTTTTTGGGATTTTTTTGCTGAATTTTTGGGATTTTTTTGGGACTTTTTGTAAATTTTACGGGGGATTTTTTGTGAATTTTACGGGCGATTTTTTGGGATTTTTTGGTGAATTTTTGGGATTTTTTTTGGGATTTTTAGTGAATTTTGGGTGAATTTTCTGGGCTATTTGGTGAATTTTTGGGATTTTTTGTGCTTTTTCTGGAGATTTTTTGGTGAATTTTCTGGGATTTTTTTGTGAATTTTTGTGAATTTTTTCTGATTTTTTGGGATTTTTTTCGGATTTTTTGGTGAATTTTCTGGGATTTTTGGTGAATTTTCTGGGATTTTTTTGAGGATTTTTGGAAATCTTTGGGGGGATTTTTTTGTGAATTTTCGGGGATTTTTTGTGAATTTTTGGTGGTATTTTTGGGATTTTTAGGGGGGATTTTTTGGGAGTGTTTTGGCCCTGCCGGGCTCCAGCAGCCGCAGCTGCGGGCGGCTCCCGGCACCGCGGCTGAAGCGCTCCGCCGCCGCCGCGCACAGACCCGAGATGCGCTCCGAGGAGCTGAAAATGTAAATATTTAATTAAATTTATCTAATTTATTCACATCCGATTTTTACAGAATAATAGGGGGATTTTTGGGGATTTTTTGGGACTTTTTTGGGATTTTTTTCTGATTTTTTGGGATTTTTTTTGGGATTTTTTTCTGATTTTTTGGGATTTTTTTCTGATTTCTTGGGATTTTTTTCTGATTTTTTGGGGATTTTTTTGGGATTTTTTGGGGGATTTTTGGCGGTATTTTTGTCAATTTTCTGGGATTATTGGCGAATTTTCTGGGATTTCTTTTTCCAAATTTTTGGGATTTCAGGTGAATTTTCTGGGATGTTTTTGGAAATTTTGCGGTTTTTCGGGATTTTTTTGGGGATTTTTTTCTGATTTTTTTGCGAATTCTACAGAGATATTTTATGAATTTTTGGGGATTTTTTTGGATTTTTTGGCGAATTTTACGGGCGATTTCTGGTGAATTTTCTGGGATTTTTTGGGGGATTTTTTTCTGATTTTTTCGGATTTTTTTCTGATTTTTTGTGCGTTTTATGGGGGATTTTTTTCCCGAATTTTTGGGGATTTTTGGGGGATTTTTGGGATTTTTTTGAGGATTCTTTGGGATTTTTTTGGGATTTTTTGGGGGGATTTTTTGGGATTTTTTGGGGATTTTTTGTGAATTTCCTGGGATTTTTTGGAGAATTTTCTGGGATTTTTTCTGATTTTCACACAAATTTTACATGAAATTTTGGTGAATTTTCTGGGATTTTTTTGCGAATTTTTGGGAATTTTTTGCTGAATTTTTGGGATTTTTTTGGTGAATTTTCCGGGATTTTTTGGGGATTTTTGGGGATTTTTTGTGACTTTTTGGGGTTTTTTCGCAGATTTTTGGGAATTTTTTGGTGAATTTTTGGGATTTTTTGGGATTGTTTTGGGATTCTTTTCTGATTTTTTTTGGGGATTTTTGTGAATTTTCTGGGATTTTTGGTGAATTTTCTGGGATTATTTCGTGAATTTTACAGGGGATTTTTAGTAAATCTTCTGGGATTTTTTTGTGAATTTTGGGGATTTTTTGGGATTTTTTGGAGATTTTTTGGGGATTTCTTTTGCAATTTTTTTCTGATTTTTTGGGATTTTTTTCAGATTTTTTTGTGAATTTTCCGGGGGATTTTTGGTGAATTTTTGGGGATTTTTTGCGAATTTTTGTTATTTTTGAGGGGATTTTTTTCTGATTTTTTTCTGATTTTTTGGTGAATTTTACAGGGGATTTTTGGTGAATTTTCTGGGATTTTTTGTGCATTTTTGGTGGTATTTTTGGGATTTTTAGGGGGATTTTTTGGGAGTGTTTTGGCCCTGCCGGGCTCCAGCAGCCGCAGCTGCGGGCGGCTCCCGGCACCGCGGCTGAAGCGCTCCGCCGCCGCCGCGCACAGAGCCGAGATGCGCTCTGAGGAACTGAAAATTAAATTATACAACATGTTTATCAAATTAAATCAAATTTATATTACCGGGAATATGAGGGAAGTTTGGGGATTTTTTTCTGATTTTTTGGGGGATTTTTTGGGATTTTTTGGGATTTTTTTCTGATTTTTTGGGGATTTTTTTGGGATTTCTTTGGTGAATTTTTGGAATTTTTTTCGGATTTTTTGGGATTTTTTTCTGATTTTTTTGTGAATTTAACAGGGGATTTTTGGGGAATTTTTTGGGATTTTTTTGGGATTTTTTTGGGGATTTTTTTGGGATTTTTTTTTGATTTTTGGGGATTTTTTGGGAGGATTTTTTGCGAATTTTCTGGGAATTTTTTGTGAATTTTTCTGAATGTTCTGGGATTTTTGGTGAATTTTTGGGGATTTTTTGGGGGGATTTTTTTGGGATTTTTTCTCATTTTTTTGCAAATTTTAGGGGGCATTTTTTCTGAATTTTTGGGCATTTTTTTGAGGATTTTTGGGGATTTTTTTTTATTTTCTTGGATTTTTTTGGGAAATTTTTTGGGATTTTGGGGGGATTTTGGGGGATTTTGGGGGATTTTTTGTGAACGTTGTGTGGAATTTTTTGGGACTGTTTTGGCCCTGCCGGGCTCCAGCAGGGCCCCAGCGCGCACAGACCGGAGACACGCTCTGAGGAGCTGAAAATCACATTTTTAATCCAATTTATCCAATTTCATCAAACTTAATTTCTCCAGGAATATGAGGGAAGTTTGGGGATTTTTTCTGATTTTTTTGTGGATTTTTGGGGATTTTTTGGGGATTTTTTTCTGATTTTTTCGGATTTTTTTCTGATTTTTGGTGCATTTTATGGGGGATTTTTTCCCGAATTGTGGGGGATTTTTGGGGGATTTTTGGGATTTTTTTGGGGATTTTTTGGGGATTTTTTGAGGGATTTTTGGGGGGATTTTTTGGGATTTTTGGGGGATTTTTGGTGAATTTTCTGGGATTTTTTCTGATTTTCATGCAAATTTTACACGGGAATTTTGGTGAATTTTCCGGGATTTTTTTGCGAATTTTTGGGATTTTTTGGGGGGATTTTTTGGGGATTTTTGGTGATTTTATGGGGGACTTTTGGAAAATTTTATGGGATTTTTTATGAATTTTTGGGATTTTTTGCAAATTTTTTTTATTTTTTTGGGGGATTTTTTCAAGAATTTCCTGTGACTTTTTTGCAAATTTTTGGGAATTTTTTGGGGATTTTTTGCAAATTTTTGGGAATTTTTTGGCTTTCTTTTGGAGGATTTTTTGGTGAATTTTCTGGGACTTTTTTGTGAATGTCTTGGGATTTTTTTGCAAATTTTTCGGATTTTTTTGGCTTTCTTTTGGAGGATTTTTTGGTGAATTTTCTGGGATTTTTTGTGAATTTTTGGCTTTTTTGGGGGGATTTTTTGGTGAATTTTCTGGGATTTTTGGTGAATTTTTGGGATTTTTTGGGGGATTTTTTGTGAATTTACGCGGCACTTTTGGTGAATTTCCTGGGATTTTTTTGCTTAATTTTCTGGGATTTTTTGTGAATTTTTGGGATTTTTTTGGCTTTTTTGGGGGGGATTTTTGGGATGAATTTTCTGTGATTTTTTGCGAATTTTTGGGGGGATTTTTTGTGAATTTTTGGGATTTCTTTGGCTTTTTTGGTAAATTTTCTGGGATTTTTTGCGAATTTTTGTTATTTTTCAGGGGCATTTTTTTTTTTTTTTCTGATTTTTTGTGCATTTTTCACGGATTCTTTTCAAATTTTTTCAGGTTCTTTTGAGAATTTTTGGGGGATTTTTTTGGGAATATTTGGTGGATTTTTGGGGATCTTTTAGGAAAACTTTTGGGGATTTTTTTGGGAATAGTTCTTGGATTTTTGGGGATTTTTCTGGGGATTTTGGGGGGAATTTTGGGGTTTTTTTGGGTGGATTTTATGGAATTTTTGGGGGGAATTTTGGGGAGAATTTTGGGGATTTTTGGGGGGGTTTTTATGGAATTTTTGGGAATTTTTTGGGAATTCTCACCTGGGCAGCACCGGGATGAGGAAAATCTCGTCCTGGATTCGGATCCGGATCCTCAGGGCCGGAACCGGAGCGGAATTCCCGGAACCTTCCGGATCTTCCACCAAATTCCCGGAAAATTCCGGAATTTCCGCAGAATTCCCGGAATCTTCCGGAATTTCTGCTGAATTCCCGGAAAATTCCGGAATTTCCCCCGAATTCCCAAAATTTTCCGGAATTTCCGACGAATCAGAGCCAAAATCAGGAAATTCCCGCGGCTCCGAATCCTCCAAATTTCGGGAGCTGCCGGATTTGGGAATTTTGGGATTTCTGGGAATTTTGGGATCCCGGAATTCCCGAAATTCCCGAAAATTCCGTCGGGGTTTTTTCCGGGATGGCCCCAAATCGTCCTCCAGCCAATCCTCCTGCGCCAGGAATTCCTCCAGCGGGATCAGCGCCGGCCGGGAAACTTCCGGAATTAATTTGGGAATTCCCGACGGAATTTTGGGAATTCCCGACGGAATTTTGGGAATTCCCGACGGAATTTTGGGAATTCCCGCCAAAATTTTGGGATTTCCCGCCGGAATTTTGGGATTTTTGGGCAGAATTTTGGGATTCTCTGGCTGAAATTTGCGATTTTCTGTCGGAATTTCGGGATTTTCTGTCGGAATTTCGGGATTTTCTGTCGGAATTTTGGAATTTTCCAGCAGAATTTCGGAATTTTCTGTCGGAATTTCGGGATTTTCTGTTGGAATTTCGGGATTTTCCACGCCGGATTTTCCCAAATTTTGGGTTTTTTCCTCGTTTTCATCCTCTGGGATCCGTTGGCGCTTCCGGGTGGGGCTGGAGGCGGAATTTGGGATTTGGGATTCCTCGGGAGCCTCTGGAAAAGGGAAAAAATTTGGGATTTAGGGGTGGAAAATTTGGGATTTGGGATTGGGGTGGAAATTTCTCCCAAAAAAATTGGGATGGGGGAAAAAATGGGGAAAAAAAAGGGAAAAAAAATGGGAAAAAATGGTGGAAAAATGGGGAAAAAAAGGGGGAAAAAATGGGGAAAAATGGGAAAAAATGGGGGAAAAATGAGGGAAAAATTGGGAAAAAGTTAGAAAAATAAAAAAGGTTAAAAATATTAAAATATCACTGAAATGGGTGAAAAAAATATGGAAAAATATGAAAAAAAGGTAAAATATTCCAAAAAATAATAAAAAAAAAATTAGGGAAATGAGAAAAAAGAGGAAAAAATATTTTAAAATAATTTTAATTAAAAAAGTATAAAATTCCCAATATTTCCCAATAAAATCCCAATAAAATCCCAATAAACCCCCGATAAAGTCCCAATATTTTCCCAATAAATTCCCAATATTTTCCCAATAAATCCCCAATATTTTCCCAACAAATCCCTGATACTTTCCCAATATTTTCTCAATAAATTCCCGATATTTTCCCAATAAAGCCCCAATAAATCCACAATAAATTCCCAATAAATCCCCAATACAATCCCTATATTTTCCCAATAAATTCCCAATATTTTCCCAATAAATCCCCGATATTTTCCCAATAAAATCCCAATAAATTCCCGATATTTTCCCAATAAATTCCCACCTTTTTCCCGGAGCAGCCACAGGGTTTCCCAATATTTTCCCAATAAATTCCTGATATTTTCCCAATAAATCCCCGATATTTTCCCACTATTTTCCCAATAAATCCCCGATATTTTCCCAATATTTTCCCGATAAATTCCCGATATTTTCCCAATAAATCCCCAATAAAATCCCAAAAAATCCCTGATAAATTCCCGGTATTTTCCCAATATTTTCCTAATAAATTCCCGATATTTTCCAGCTATTTTCCCAATACTTTCCCAATATTTTCCCAATAAATTCCCGATATTTTCCGGCTGTTTCCCGTCTCTTTTCCCACCTTTTTCGCGGAGCAGCCGGAGGGTTTCCCAATAAATCCCCAATATTTTCCCAATAAATCCCCAATATTTTCCCAATATTTTCCCAGTATTTTCCCAATAAATTCCCAATAAATTCCCAATAAATTCAAATTATTTTCCCAATAATTTCCCAATATTTTCCCAATAAATTCCTGATATTTTCCCCATAAATCCCCAATAAATCCCCAATAATTTCCCAATATTTTCCCAATAAATTCCCGATATTTTCCCAATATTTTCCCAATAAATCCCCGATATTTTCCCAATATTTTCCCAATAAAATCCCAATAAAGCCCCGATGAAGTCCCAATATTTTCCCTATAAATTCCTGATATTTTCCCAATAAATTCCCAATAAAATCCCAATAAATCCCCAATAAATTCCCAATAAAATCACAATAAAATCCCAATAAAGCCCCGATAAAGCCCCGATAAAATCCCAATATTTTCCTAATAAATTCCTGATATTTTCCCAATATTTTCCCAATAAATTCCTGATATTTTCCCAATAAATTCCCAGTATTTTCCCAATAAATCCCTGATACTTTCCCAATATTTTCCCAATAAATTCCCAATATTTTCCCAATAAATCCCCGATATTTTCCCAATAAATTCCCAATAAAATCCCAATATTTTCCCAATAAATTCCCAATAAATTCCCAATAAATCCCCGATATTTTCCCAATATTTTCCCAATAAATCCCCGATATTTTCCCAATATTTTCTCGATATTTTCCCAATAAATCCCCAATATTTTCCCAATAAATCCCCGATATTTTCCCAATAAATTCCCGATATTTTCCCCATAAATCCCCAATATTTTCCTAATAAATTCCCGATATTTTCCCCATAAATTCCCACCTTTTTCGCGGAGCATCCGGAGGGTTTCCCGGGCGCTCTGGCGGGTCTCGGCGTCGAGCTCGGGGCCGAAGCTGCGCAGCCACTCCTGCAGCGTCTGCAGCGGCGTCCGGCCCTGGGAATGCAGGAAAAACCAAAAACAATCAGAGAAAAATCCTAAAAAATAGCCTGAAACATCAGGGAAATGGCAGGGAAAAAAAAAAAAAAAATCAGGCAAAAAAAGGGAAAAATTCCTAAAAAAATCCTAAAAAAATCGGAAAAAATCGGGAAAAAAATCCGAAAAAAATCCTAAAAAATCATGCAAAAAAAGGGAAAAAATTCCTAAGAAAGTCCCCCAAAAATCAGAAAAAAATCTGGAAAAAAATTCCAAAAAAAATCCGAAAAAAATCCTAAAAAAATCGGGAAAAAAATCCGAAAAGAATCCTAAAAAATGTCCTGAAAAATCAGGGAAATATCATGGAAAAATTAAAAAAAAAAATCATGCAAAAATTCCTAAAAAATAAAAAAAAAAAATCGGAAAAAAAAAATCAGAAAAAAATCCTAAAAAAATTCCTGAAAAATGAGGAAAAAATCAGGGAAAAATGAAAAAAAAAAAAATCATGCAAAAAAGGGGAAAAAAAATTCCTAAAAAAATCCCCAAAAAATCGGAAAAAAATCAGAAAAAAATCCTAAAAAATGTCCTGAAACATCAGGGAAATGGCATGGGAAAATTAAAAAAAAATCATACAAAAAAGGGGAAAAATTCCTAAAAAAATCCCAAAAAAATTAGAAAAAATACGGAAAAAAATCCGAAAAAAATCCTAAAAAATCATGCAAAAAAAGGGAAAAAATTCCTAAAAAAGTCCCCCAAAATCGGAAAAAAATCTGGAAAAAAAATTCCTTAAAAAATCCCAAAAAAATCCTAAAAAAATCGGAAAAAAAATCAGAAAAAAATCCTAAAAAATGTCCTGAAAAATCAGGGAAATATCATGGAAAAATTAAAAAAAAAATCATGCAAAAATTCCTAAAAAATAAAAAAAAAATCGGAAAAAAAAAATCAGAAAAAAATCCTAAAAAAATTCCTGAAAAATGAGGAAAAAATCAGGGAAAAATGAAAAAAAAAAAAATCATGCAAAAAAGGGGAAAAAAATTCCTAAAAAAATCCCCAAAAAATCGGAAAAAAATAAGAAAAAAATCCTAAAAAATATCCTAAAACATCAGGGAAATGGCACGGAAAAAATAAAAAAAAAATCAGGCAAAAAAAGGGAAAAAATTCCTAACAAAAAAATCCCAAAGAAATCGGGAAAAAAATCAGAAAAAAATCCTAAAAAAATTCCTGAAAAATCAGGAAAAGAGCAGGGAAAAATTAAAAAATAATAATGCAAAAAAAAGGGAAAAATTCCTAAAAAAAAAAAATCCAAAAAAAACCCCCAAAAAAATCGGGAAAAAATCCGAAAAAAATCCTAAAAAATATCCTAAAACATCAGGGAAATGGCACGGAAAAATTAAAAAAAAAACATGCAAAAAAAGGGAAAAAAATTCCTAAAAAAAAAAAATCCTAAAAAAATCGGGAAAAATATCAAAAAAAAATCCCCAAAAATGTCCTGAAAAATCTGGGAAATATCACGGAAAAAATAAAAAAAAATCATGCAAAATGGGAAAAAATTCCTAAAAAATACCCAAAAAAATCCTAAAAAAATAAGGCAAAAATAATAAAAAAATTCCTAAAAAATATCCTGAAATATCAGGGAAATATCACGGAAAAATTAAAACAAAAATCACGCAAAAAAAGGGGAAAAAATTCCTAAAAAAGTCCCCCAAAAATCAGAAAAAAATCGGGGAAAAAATCCTAAAAAATATCCTGAAAAATCAGGGAAATATCACGGAAAAATTTAAAAAAAATTAATGCAAAAAAAGGGAAAAAACTCCTAAAAATATTTTAAAAAATCTTAAAAAATAAACAAAAAATAATAAAAAAATCCTAAAAAAATGTCCTGAAATATCAGGGAAATGGCACGGAAAAAATTTAAAAAAAAAAATCATGCAAAAAAGGGGAAAAAATTCCTAAAAAAAATCCCCAAAAAATCGGAAAAAAATCAGAAAAAGATCCGAAAAAAATCCTAAAAAGTCATGCAAAAAAGGGAAAAAATTCCTAAAAAAATCCCCAAAAAATCAAAAAAAAAAAATCGGAAAAAAAAAAATCATAAAAAAATCCTAAAAAAGGTCCTGAAAAATCAGGAAAAAAATCAGGGAAAAATTTAAAAAAAAATCATGCAAGAAAACGGAAAAAATTCCTACAAAAATAAAACAAAATCCTAAAAATATAAGGAAAAAATAATTAAAAAAATCCTAAAAAATGTCCTGAAAAATCAGGGAAATATCAAGGAAAAATTAAAAAAAAATCATGCAAAAAAAGGGGAAAAAACTCCTAAAAAAATCGGGAAAAAAAAATAAAAAAAAAATCAGGAAAAAATCAGAAAAAAATCAGGAAAATTTATTAAAAAAAAGCTAAAAAATCTGAAAATAATAATTTAAAAAACATTAAAAATCATTAAAAATCTGAAAAAATCAGAAAAAAAAGGGAAAAAAATCAGAAAAATTCAGAAAAAAAAATAATAATAAAAGCTAAAAAATCCGAAAATAATAATTTAAAAATCATTAAAAAATCAGAAAAAATCAGAAAAAAATCAGAAAAAATCAGAAAAAAAATCAGGAAAAAAACAGGAAAAATTCAGAAATTTGGGAATTTTCCTCACCTTGGCGTCCCTGGCATTGAGCCAGGCCCCGGCGCGGATCAGCAGCTGCGCCACCGGGAACCTCAGGGGGCAGAAATTCCCTTCAAAAATCCCCCAAAAATCAGAAAAAATCCAAAGAAAATAAAAAAAAAAAAAAATCAGAAAAATATTTAAAAAAAAAACCTAAAAACATCGGAGAATAATAATTTAAAAATCATTAAAAATCAAAAAAAAATCGGAAAAAAATCAGAAAAAAAATCAGAAAAAATCAGAAAAAAATCCGAAAAAAACCTGAAAAAAACTGAAAAAAATCAGAAAAAAATCAGAAAAAAATCAGAAAAAAATCCTGAAAAAAAAAATTTAGAAAAAAACCTGAAAAAAATCTGAAAAATATTTGAAAAAAAGCTAAAAAAATCAGAAAATAATAATTTAAAAATCTGAAAAAATCTGAAAAAAATCTGAAAAAAATCCAAAAAATTTGAAAAAAAAGTCCAAAAAAAATCCAAAAAAAATCCGAAAAAAAACATTAAAAAATCATTAAAAAATCATTAAAAAATCATTTAAAAATCATTAAAAAATCAGAAAAAAATCAGAAAAAAATTTTAAAAAATCAGAAAAAATCAGGAAAAAAATCAGGAAAAATTCAGAAAAATTCAGAAAAAAATCCAAACAAAATCAGAAACAAATCTGAAAAAATCAGAAAAAAATCGGAAAAATCGGAAAAAAATTCAGAAAAAAATCCGAAAAAAATGCTAAAAAAGCAGAAAAAATCAGGAAAAATCAGAAAAAAATCCGAAAAAAAATCCAAAAAAAATCAGAAAAAAATCCAAAAAAAAAAATCCCAAAAAAATCAGAAAAAATCCCAAAAAAATCCCCCAAAAATCCGAAAAATTTCAGAAAAAAATCAGGAAAAAATCAGAAAAAAATCCAAAAAAAATCAGAAAAAAATCAGAAAAAAATCCGAAAAAAATCCGAAAAAATCCCTAAAAATTCCCACCGAATCCCCACCAAATTCCGTATAAAATTTGGGAATTTCTCACCTTGGCGTCCCTGGCATCGAGCCGGGCCCCGGCGCGGATCAGCAGCTGCGCCACCGGGAAGCGCCCCGAGGCCAACGCGTCGTGCAGCGGCGTCAGCCCCTCACAGCCCGGCCCGCCCGCGTCGTCCCGCGCCGCGCCCCGCGCCAGCAGCAGCCGGGCGATCTCTGAGAATGGTTAATTAATGTGTTAATTAATCCTGATCCTAAAAATAATCCTGATCCTAAACACAAATCTGATCCTAAATCTGGTCCTAAACACAAATCTGGTCCTAAAAATAAACCCGGTTCTGATCCCGTCCCTGACCCCGCGCCAGCAGCAGCCGAACGATCTCTGAGAATGGTTAATTAATGCGTTAATTAGTCCTGGTCCTGATCCTAATCCTAAATCTGATCCTGATCCTAAATCTGATCCTAAACCCAAATCTGATCCCAATCCTGATCCTGTCCCTGACCCCGCGCCAGCAGCAGCCGGGCGATCTCTGAGAATGGTTAATTAATGCGTTAATTAGTCCTGATCCTAAAAATAATCCTGATCCTAAAGCTGATCCCGATCCTAAATCTCATCCTAAACCTAAATCTGATCCTGATCCTAAACCTGGTCCTGATCCCATCCCTGACCCCGCGCCAGCAGCAGCCGGGCAATCTCTGAAATCAGTAATTAGTTCATTAATTAATCCTGGTCCTAAAAATAATCCTGATCCTAAATATGATCCTGATCCTAAATCTGATACTGATCCGAAATCTGATCCTAAACCTAAATCTGAGCCTGATCCTAAATCTGACCCTAAACCTGGTCCTGATCCCGTCCCTGACCCCGCGCCAGCAGCAGCCGGGCAATTTCTGAGAATGGTTAATAAATTCGTTAATTAATACTGGTCCTAAAAATAATCCTGATCCTAAAGCTGATCCTAAACCTAAATCTGAGCCTGATCCTAAAGCTGATCCTAAAAATAATCCTGATCCTGATCCTGATCCTGATCCTAAACCTGGTCCTGATCCTAAACCTGATCCTAAACCTGATCCTGATCCTAAATCTGATCCTAAACCTAAATCTGATCCCAAACCTGATCCTAAATTTCATCCTAAACCTGATCCTAAAAATAATCCTGATCCTAAAAATAATCCTGATCCTAAATCTGATCCTGATCCTGAATCTGATCCTAAACCCAAATCTGATCCTAAACTGAAATCTGATCCTGATCCTAAATTTGATCCTGATCCTAAACCTGCTCCTGATCCTAAATCTGATCCTGATCCTAAATCTGATTCCAAACCTGATCCTAAATTTCATCCTAAACCTGATCCTAAATCTCATCCTAAATCTGATCCTGATCCTAAACCTAAACTTGGTCCTAAACCTCGTCCTGATCCTAAACCTGATCCTAAATCTGATCCTGATCCTAAATCTGATCCTGATCCTAAACCTGATCCTGATCCTAAATCTGATCCTGATCCTAAATCTGATCCTAAATCCAAATCTGATCCTGATCCTAAACCTGATCCTGATCCTAAACCTGATCCTGATCCTAAATCTGATCCTAAACCTAAATCTGATCCTCATCCTAAATTTGATCCTGATCCTAAACCTGATCCTAATCCTGATCCTGATCCTAAATCTGATCCTAAACCTAAATCTGATCCTAAATTTCATCCTAAACCTTATCCTAAATCTGATCCTAAACCTGATCCTGATCCTAAAAATAATCCTAATCCTAAACCTGATCCTAAACCTGATTCTAAATCTGATCCTAAACCTAAATCTGATCCTAAACCTGATCCTGATCCTAAATCTGATCCTAAACCTGATCCTGATCCTAAATCTGATCCTGATCCCGACCCCAATTCCCAGACCGTATTTCCCTCATTACTTGGGGGGATTTTCCCCTTTTTTTCTGGGATTTTCCCCCTTTTTTCTGCCTTTTTTTAGATTCCCCCATTTTTTGGGATTTCCTCACTTTTTTCACAATTTCTCCCCCCTTTTTTTTTTATTTCCCCCATCTTTTGACATTTCCCCTATTTTTGGGGTATTTTCCCCATTTTTTTGGATTTTCCCTTCATTTTTTGGGATTTTCCCCACTTTTTTAAGATTTCTCCTCTATTTTTGGGGTTTTTTTCCCATTTTTTGAGGCATTTCCCCCATTTTTCGCATTTCCCCCCATTTCTGGGGCATTTCCCCCTCATTTTTTGGGATTTTTTTTTCCACTTTTTTAGGATTTACCCTCTTTTTTGGGTTTTTTCCCCTTTTTTTTTGGCATTATCCCCCATTTTTTTGGGATATCCTCCATTTTTTGAGCCATTTCCCCCATTTTACATTCCCACCCTCCCTCCTCTTCCCCACCCCCAAAAAATCCCCCAAAAAACCCCAAAATTATCCCTAGAAAGCACCAAAAATCCCCAAAATCAGCTATAAAAAAACCCCCACAAATCCCCAAAATCAGCCAAAAAACCCCCAAAACCCCCAAAATCATCCCCAAAAACACCCCAAAAAAATCCCAAAAATTATCCCCAAAAAACCCCAAAATTATCCCTAAAAAACCCCAAATCAGCCCTAAAAAAACCCCAAAATTCCTAAAAAACCCCAAAATTATCCCCAAAAATCCCCCCAAAAACCCAAAATTATCCCTAAAAAACCCCAAAAAAACCCCAAAATCCCCAAAAATCCCCCAAAATCCCCAAAAAATCCCCCAAAAACCCCAAAATCAGCCCTAAAAGACCCCCAAAAATCCCCAAAATAATCCCCAAATACCCCCACAATGATCCTCAAAAAACCCCCAAAATGATCCTCAAAAAATCCCCCCAAAAACCCCAAAATTATCCCTAAAAAACCCCAAATCAGCCCTAAAAAACCCCCAAAACCCCCCGAAATTATCCCCAAAAAACCCCAAAAAATCCCCCAAAAAACCCCAAAATTATCCCTAAAAACCCCAAAATTATCCCCAAAAAACCCCAAAAAATCCCCCAAAAACCCCAAAATTATCCCCAAAAATCCCCCCAAAAACCCAGAATTATCCCTAAAAAACCCAACAATCCCCAAAATGATCCCCAAAAAAAACCCACAATGATCCTCAAAAAACCCCCAAAATGATCCTCAAAAAATCCCCCAAAAAACCCCAAAATTATCCCCAAAAAATCCCCAAACACCCCCACAAATCCCCAAAATCAGCCCCAAAAAACCCCCAAATTATCCCCAAAAAACCCCCAAAAATCCCCAAAAAAACCCTAAAATTATCCCTAAAAAACCCCAAATCAGCCCTAAAAAAACCCCAAATTATCCCCAAAAAAACCCCAAAAATCCCCAAAAAACCCCCAAAATTATCCCTAAAAAACCCCAAATCAGCCCCAAAAACCCCCAAATTATCCCCAAAAAACCCCAAAAAAACCCCAAAATTATCCCTAAAAACCCCAAAATCAGCCCTAAAAAACCCCCAAAAATCCCCAAAATAATCCCCAAATATCCCCACAATGGTCCTCAAAAAAACCCCAAAAACCCCCCCAATAAATCCCAAAAAAACCCCAAAATTATCCCCAAAAAATCCCCAAACACCCCCACAAATCCCCAAAATCAGCCCCAAAAAACCCCCAAATTATCCCCAAAAAATCCCCAAGAAATCCCCAAAAAAACCCCAAAAATCCCCAAAATTATCCCTAAAAAACCCAAAATCAGCCCTAAAAAACCCCCAAAATCCCCAAAAAACCCCAAAATTATCCCTAAAAAACCCCAAAAATCCCCAAAATAATCCCCAAATACCCCCACAATGATCCTCAAAAAAACCCCAAAATGATCCTCAAAAAATCCCCCAAAAAACCCCAAAATTATCCCCAAAAATCCTCAAAAAATGTCCAAAACCACCCAAAAACCCCAAAAACCCCCAAAATCAGCCCCAAAAAACCCCCAAAATATCCCCAAAAAACCCAAAAAAATCCCCAAAATTATCCCTAAAAACCCAAAATCAGCCCTAAAAAAACCCCAAAATCCCCAAAAAAACCCCAAAAACCCCCAAAAATCCCCCCAAAAACCCAGAATTATCCCCAAAAAATCCCAAAAATCCCCCAAAAATCCCCCAAAAATCCCCCAAAATTATCCCCAAAATTCCCCCAAAATTATCCCTAAAAACCCCAAAATTATCCCTCAAAAGACCCAAAAAAATCCCCCAAAAACCCCAAAATTATCCCCAAAAATCCCCCCAAAAACCCAGAATTATCCCTAAAAAACCCCAAAAAAACCCCAAAAACCCCAAAATTATCCCCAAAAAAACCCCAAAACTCCCCCAAAAAACCCCAAAATCCCCCAAAATTTTCGGAAACTGCCCTCACCGAGGTGTCCGTGGTTGGCGGCCTCGTGCAGGGGGGTCCACCCGCAATAATCCCGAGGGTTCACCGGGTGACCCTGCAAAAAAATGGGAATTTTGGGAATTTTGGGAATTTTTTGGGAATTTTTGGGGTGAAAATTTTTGGGAATTTTGGGAATTTTTTGGGATTTACCTGGTCCAGGTAGAGGCGGACCCGTTTGAGGTCGCCCTCGATGCAGGCGCGGTGCAGGGGGGTCTCGCCACGCTCGTTCCGACGGTTCCACTGCCGGAATTTCGGGAATTTTGGGGATTTTTGGGAATTTTCCCCAGCGGGAATTTGGGAATTCTCAGGTGGGAAAAACTCCTCAAAAAATTCCAGATTTTTTTGGGATTTTCCATCCTTATTTTGGGATTTTCCTTGAGTTTTTGGGGATTTTTCCTTCATTTTTTTGGGATTTTTCCCATTTTTTCCCGGATTTTTCCTCAATTTTTTTGGGATTTTACCCCAATTTTTAAAAAATTTTCCCTTGATTTTTTTGGGGGATTTTCCATCATTTTTTGGGGGATTTTCCCTCAAATTTTTGGGATTTCCTCCCTAATTTATTTGGACTTTCCTTCAATTTTTGGGGATTTTCTCTCAATTTTGGGAATTTTTGGGAATTTTCCAGAGCAGGAATTTGGGAATTCTCAGCTGGGAGAAGCTCCTCCAAAAATTCCAGATTTTTTTGGGATTTCCCCCCAATTTATTTGGATTTTCCATTAATTTTTTTGGGGATTTTCCTTGAGTTTTTGGGGATTTTTCCCTCATATTTTTGGGATTTTCCTGGAATTTTTGAGGATTTTTCCTCTTTTTTTTTTGGATTTTTCCATTTGGATTTTCCCTTCATTTTTTTGGGATTTTCCTTGAGTTTTTGGGGATTTTTCACCATTTTTTTTGGATTTTCCCCCAATTTTTTGGGATTTCCCCCCATTTTTTTTTGATTTTCCTACAATTTTTGGGGATTTTCTCTCAATTTTGGGGGATTTTTGGGAATGTTCCCAAGCGGGAATTTGGGAATTCCCAGCTGGGAGAGGCTCCTCCAAAAATTCCAGATTTTTTGGGGATTTTCCATCATTTTTTGGGATTTTCCTTGAGTTTTTGGGGATTTTTCCTTCAAATTTTTGAGGATTTTTCCTCCATTTTTGGGGATTTTTCCTCAATTTTTTTGGTATTTTACCCCAATTTTTTGAGGATTTTCCCTTCAAATTTTTTTGGATTTTCCATCATTTTTTGGGGATTTTCCTTGAGTTTTTTGGGATTTTTCACCTTTTTTTCTGGATTTTCCCCAATTCTTGGGGATTTCCCCCCAATTTATTTGGATTTTCCGTCAATTTTCAGGGATTTTCTCTCAATTTTTGGGGATTTTTGGGAATGTTCCCAAGCGGGAATTTGGGAATTCTCATCTGGGAAAAGCTCCTCCAAAAATTCCAGATTTTTTTGGGATTTTCCATCCTTTTTTTGGGATTTTCCTTGAGTTTTTGGGGATTTTTCCTTCATTTTTTTTGATTTTTCCTCAATTTTTTTGGTATTTTACCCCAATTTTTTGAGGATTTTCCTTTCATTTTTTTGGATTTTCCATCCTTTTTTTGGGATTTTCCTTGAGTTTTTGGGATTTTTCCCATTTTTTCTGGATTTTTCCTCAATTTTTTGGGGATTTTCCTCGAATTTTTGAGGATTTTTCCTCAATTTTTTTTGATTTTTCCTTTTGGATTTTCCCTTCATTTTTTTTGGATTTTCCCTCAATTTTTTGGGATTTCCTCCCTAATTTCTTTGGATTTTCCTTTAATTGTTGGGAATTTTTCCACAATTTTGGGGGATTTTTGGGAATGTTCCCAAGCAGGAATTTGGGAATTCTCAGCTGGGAAAAGTCCTCCAAAAATTCCAGATTTTTTTGGGATTTTCCTTGAGTTTTTGGGGATTTTCCTGCAGTTTTTTGGGATTTTCCTTGAGTTTTTGAGGATTTTCCATCATTTTTTTGGGATTTTACCCCAATTTTTTTGGATTTTCCCTTTATGTTTTTTGGATTTTCCATCATTTTTTGGGATTTTCCTTGAGTTTTTGGGATTTTTCCCATTTTTTCTGGACTTTTCCTCAATTTTTGGGGGATTTTGCCCCAATTTTTTGTGATTTTACCCCAATTTTTTGGGGGATTTTCCCTCACTTTTTTGGGATTTTTCACCATTTTTTTCGGATTTTATCCCAATTTTTTTTGATTTTCGTTCAATTTTTGGGAATTTTCTCTCAATTTTTGGGGATTTTCTCTCAATTTTGGGGATTTTTGGGAATTTTCCCAAGTGGGAATTTGGGAATTCTCAGCTGGGAGAGGCTCCTCCAAAAATCCCAGATTTTTTTTTGATTTTCCCCCAATTTATTTGGATTTTCCGTCATTTTTTTTGGATTTTCCATCCTTTTTTAGGATTTTCCTCTAATTTTTGAGGATTTTTCCTCAATTTTTTCCATTTTTTTCTGGTTTTTTTTCCTCAATTTTTTTGGATTTTACCCCAATATTTTTGAGATTTTTCCCTTCTTTTTTTTTTTTTTTGGATTTTCCATCATTTTTTGGGATTTTCCTCGAATTTTTGAGGATTTTTCCTCCATTTTTTGGGATTTTTCACTTTTTTTAGGTTTTATCCCAATTTTTTTGGATTTTCCTTCATTTTTTGGGGATTTTCTCTCAATTTTGGGGGATTTTTGGGAATGTTCCCAAGCGGGAATTTGGGAATTCTCAGCTGGGAAAAGCTCCTCAAAAAATTCCAGATTTTTCTGGGATTTTCCTTGAGTTTTTGGGGATTTTCCTGCAGTTTTTTGGATTTTCCATCATTTTTTTGGGATTTTCCCCATTTTTCAGGGACTTTTCCTAAATTTTTTGGGATTTTCCTCCATTTTTGGGGATTTTTCCTCATTTTTTTGGGGATTTTACCCCAATTTTTTTGGATTTTCCCTTCATTTTTTTTGGATTTTCCATCTCTTTTTTTTGGGATTTTTCCCATTTTTTCAGGATTTTTCCTCAATTTTTGGGGATTTTACCCCATTTTTTTGGGAATTTACCCTACATTTTTTTTTGATTTTCCATCAATTTTTAGGATTTTTCTTCAATTTTTGGGGATTTTCCCTTAATTTTTTGAGATTTTTCACCTTTTTTTTTTGGATTTTCCCCCAATTTTTTGGCATTTTCCCCTAATTTATTTGGATTTTCCTTCAATTTTGGGGGATTTTTGGGGATTTTCCCAAGTGGGAATTTGGGAATTCTCAGCTGGGAGAGGCTCCTCCAAAAATTCCGATTTTTTTTGGATTTTCCATCCTTTTTTTGGGATTTTCCTTGAGTTTTTGGGGATTTTTCCTTCATTTTTTTGGGATTGATCCCATTTTTTTCCGGATTTTTCCTCAATTTTTTTGGGATTTTACCCCAATTTTTAAAAAATTTTCCCTTGATTTTTTTGGGGGATTTTCCATCATTTTTTGGGGGATTTTCCTTGAGTTTTTGGGAATTTTCCCTCAAATTTTTGGAATTTTTCACCTTTTTTTGGATTTTCCTTCAATTTTTGGGGATTTTCTCTCAATTTTCCGGGATTTTTGGGAATTTTCCCAAGAGGGAATTTGGGAATTCTCAGCTGGGAAAAGCTCCGCCAAAAATTCCCGATTTTTTTTTGGATTTTCCATCCTTTTTTTGGGATTTTTCCTTGAGTTTTTGGGGATTTTTCCTCAATTTTTTTGGAGTTTCCTCGAATTTGTGAGGATTTTTCCTCCATTTTTTGGGATTTTACCCCAATTTTTTGGGGATTTTCCCTTCATTTTTTTTTTGGATTTTCCATCCTTTTTTTGGGATTTTCCTTGAGTTTTTGGGGATTTTTCCCATTTTTTCTGGATTTTTCCCCCAATTTTTTGGGATTTCTCCCCAATTTATTTGGATTTTCCTTCAAGTTTTGGGGATTTTCTCTCAATTTTGGGGGATTTTCGGGAATTTTCCCGAGCGGGAATTTGGGAATTCCCAGCTGGGAGAGGCTCCTCCAAAAATTCCAGATTTTTTTGGATTTTCCATCCTTTTTTTGGGATTTTCCTCAAATTTTTGAGGAGTTTTCCTCATTTTTTTTTGATTTTTCTGATTTTTTTCCTGGATTTTTCCTCAATTTTTTTGGGATTTTACCCCAATTTTTTAGAATTTTCCCTTGAATTTTTGGGGGGATTTTCCTTGAATTTTTGGGGGTTTTCCCTCAATTTTTTTGGGATTTTTCACCTTTTTATTTTCCTCCAATTTTTTGGGATTTTCCCTATTTTTTTTCCTGGATTTTCCATCATTTTTGGGATTTTCCTTGAGCTTTTTGGGATTTTTCCCCCAATTTATTTGGATTTTCCTTCAATTTTTGGGGATTTTCTCTCAATTTTGGGGGATTTTTGGGAATTTTCCCAAGCGGGAATTTGGGAATTCTCAGCTGGGAGAGGCTCCACCAAAAATTTCAGATTTTTTTGGAATTTTCCCTTCATTTTTTTTTTCCCTACATTTTTATTGAATTTTCCATCATTTTTTGGGGATTTTCCTTGAGTTTTTGGGGATTTTCCTTCAATTTTTGGGATTTTTGGGAATGTTCCCAAGTGGGAATTTGGGAATTCTCAGCTGGGAAAAACTCCTCCAAAAATTCCAGATTTTTTTTGGATTTTCCCTACATTTTTTTTGGATTTTCCATCATTTTTTGGGATTTTCCTCGAATTTTTGAGGATTTTTCCTTCATTTTTTGGGATTTTTCACCTTTTTTTTTGGATTTTTCCTTAATTTTTTTGGGATTTTACCCCAATTTTTTAGAATTTTCCCTTTATTTTTTTGGGGAATTTTCCTTGAATTTTTGGGGGTTTTCCCCTCAATTTCTGGGGATTTTTCACCTTTTTTTTTAATTCTGCCCATTTTTTCTGGATTTCCCCCAATTTTTTGAGATTTTACCCCAATATTTTCGATTTTCCCCAATTTTTTTTGTCTTTTTCCCCAATTTTTTGGGGATTTTCCCTCAATTTTTGTGGCTTTTTGTGCTATTTTTGGAATTTTAGTCCAATTTTTTGGGATTTTCCTACAATTTTTTGGACTTTACTCCAATTTTAGGGGAATTTCCCTCAATTTTTGGGATTTTACTCCAATTTTCTGGGATTTATCCCCAACTTTAAGAGTTTATCTCAAATTTTGGGCATTTCTCTCAATTTTTTTGGATTTTCCCCAATTTTTGCGATTTTCCTCCCTATTCTTGTGATTTCCCCCAATTTTTTGGGGATTTTCCCTCAATTTTAGGGGATTTTACCTCAAATTTTGAGATTTTAGTCCAATTTTTGGGGTTTTCCATCAATTTTTAGGGATTTTACCCCAATTTTTGAGGATTTTCCTTCAATTTTTGGGGATTCTCTCTCAATTTTAGGGGATTTTACCTCAAATTTTGAGATTTTAGTCCAATTTTGGGGATTTTCCATCAATTTTTAGGGATTTTACCCCAATTTTTGAGCATTTTCCCTCAATTGTTTGAGGATTTTCCCTCAATTTTAGAAGATTTTACCTCAAATTTTGAGATTTTAGTCCAATTTTTGGGGTTTTCCATCAATTTTTAGAGATTTTACCCCAATTTTTGAGGATTTTCCCTCAATTGTTTTGGGATTTTCCCTCAATTTTTGGGGTTTTACCCCAAATTTTTTTTGGAATTTAATTTTCCTCCAATTTTGGGAATCTCCTCCAGAATTTCAGGGATTTTTTCCAATTTTTGGGGATTTCCCCTCATTTTTTTGGGATCTTCCTCCTAAATTTTGGGATTTTACTGAATTTGGGGAAGAATTTGGGGGATTTTGGGGGATTTTTGGGAATTTTTGGGGTGCCCCACCTTGTTGCTGCGGCGCCTCCCGGGGACACTTTTGGGGTACCCCTCGAGATCTTCCTCTTCATCATCTGCAAAAATCCCAAAATCGTCCCAAAATTCCCTCAGAAATGCCCAAATTCTCTTCAATCCCAAGTTTTCCCCAACTTCCCCCAAATTTTCCCAAAATGTCCCTCGAATTCCCCCCTAAAATCCCCAAAAATCCCCCCAAAACCCCCCTAAAATTCCCAAAAATCCCATTAAATCCCCTAAAATTCCCAAAAATCCCCCAAACATCCCATTAGTCCCCCTAAAATTCCCAAAAAATCCCTAAAATGCACAAAAATTCCCCAACCCCCCCAAACCTCCCAAATCCCATCAAAAATTCCCAAAAAGTGCCCAAAAATCCCCAAAATTTCCCCAAGCCCCCCTAAAATCCCATTAAATCCACCTAAAATTCCCAAAACTTCCCCAAAATCCCCCCAAAATCCGCCTAGAATTCCCAAAAATCCCACAAAATCCCCCCTAAAATTCAGAAAAGTCCCCCAAAAGCTCCCCAAATCCCCCCTAAAATTCCCAAAAATATTCCAAAACCCCCCAAAATCCCCCCTAAAATTCCCAAAAATCCCTGAAATCCCCCCTAAAATTCCCAAATCCCTGCAAAATGTCCCGAAAATTCCCGAAAATCCCCCAAAAATCCAAAAAAAATCTCCCAAAAATACCAGTAAAATCCCCAAAACAATCCCAATAAAATCCTCCCAAAAAATCCCCAAAAATCATAATAAAACCCCCAAAAAGTCCCCAAAAATCATAATAAAATCCCCAAAAATCTTAATAATATCCCCAAAAAATCCCCCAAAAATCCCAATAAAATCCCCATTAAAATCCCAATAAACCCCACTAAAATCCCCCAAAAAAGCCCCAAAAATCCCCCTAAAATTCCCAAAAATCCAAAAAAGTCCCAGTAAAATCCCCAAAATAATCCCAATAAAACCCCCAAAAAATCCCTACAATAATCCCAATAAAATCCTCCAAAAAAAACCCCAAAATCATACTAAAATCCCCAAAAAATCCCCCCAAAATCCCCGAAAATCCCCCCTTAAATCCCATTAAACCCCACTAAAATCCCAAAAAAGCCCCAAAAATCCCCCTAAAATTCCCAAAAATCTCCCAAAAATCCCCCAAATAATCCCAATAAAACCCCCCAAAAATCCCCCAAATAATCCCAATAAAATCCTGCAAAAAATCCCCAAAAATGATAATAAAATCCCCAAAAATCCCCAAAAATCCCAATAAAATCCCCGAAAAATGCCCGAAAAATCCCAATAAAATTCCCCATTAAAATCCCATTAAACCCCACTAAAATCCCCAAAAAAAGCCCCAAAAATCCCCCTAAAATTCCCCAAAATCCCCCAAAATGGCCCTAAAATCCCCAAAATAATCCAAATAAAATTCTCCAAGAAAATCCCCAAACATAATAAAATCCCAAAAAAAATCCCCAAACATCATAATAAAACCCCCCAAAAAATCCCCAAAAATCATAATAAAATCCCCAAAAAATCCCCCAAAAATCCCCAAAGATTCCCCAAAACCCCCCCAAAAATCCCAATAAAATCCCCCAAAATTCCAGTAAAATCCCCAAAAATCCCCAAAAAATCCCCCAAAAATCCAAAAAAAATCCCCAAAATAATCCCAATAAAACCCCTCAAAAATCCCCAAAATAATCCTAATAAAATCCTCCAAAAAAAACCCCAAAATCATAATAAAATCCCAAAAAAATCCCCAAAAATCATAATAAAATCCCCGAAAAATCCCAATAAAATTCCCCATTAAAATCCCATTAAACCCCACTAAAATCCCAAAAAAATGCCCAAAAAATCCCCCTAAAATTCCCAAAAATCCCCCAAAATTCCATTGAAATCCCTCAAATCCCCCAAAAATCCCAATAAAATCCCCCCAAAAATCCAAACAAAATCCTCCAAAAAACTCCCCAAAATCATTATAAAATCCCCCAAAAATCCCTCAAAAATCCCCCAAAAATCCCAGTAAAATCCCCAGAATAATCCCAATAAAATTCTCCAAAAAAATCCCCAAAAATCATAATAAAATCCAAAAAAATCCCCAAAAATTCCCCAAAAGTCATAATAAAATCACAAAAAACCCCTCAAAAATCCCAATAAAACCCCCAAAATAATCCCAATAAAACCCCAAGGAATCTTCAAAAATCATAATAAAATCCTCCCAAAAATCCCCCAAAAATCATATTAAAATCCCCAAAAATCCCAATAAAACCCCCCCTAAAATCCCATTAAACCCCACTAAAATCCCAAAAAAAACCCCTTAAAATCCCCCTAAAATTCCCAAAAATTCTCCAAAATCCCCCTAAAATCCCCAAGGATCCCCCAAAAAATCCCCCAAAAATCCCAAAAAAATCTCCATAATAATCCCAATAAAACCCCCAAAAAATCCCCAAAAATCCTAATAAAATCCAAATAAAATCCCCAAAAATCCAAATAAAATCCCTGAAAAATCCTCCAAACATCCCAATAAAACCTCAAAAAAATCTCCAAAAAATCATAATAAAATCCCAAAAAAATCCCCAAAAATCATAATAAAATCCCCCAAAACTCCCAATAAAATACCCCCTAAAATCCCATTAAACCCCACTAAAATTAAAAAAAAAAAGCCTCCAAAATCCCCCTAGAATTCCGAAAAATCCCCTTTAAAATTCCCAAAGATCCCCCAAAAATCCCTGTAAAATCCCCAAAATAATCCCAATAAAACCCCCAAAGAATCCCCAAAAATAATAATAAAATCCCCCAAAATCCCATTAAACCCCACTAAAATCCCAAAAAAAAGCCCCAATAATCCCCCTAAAATTCCCAAAAATCCCCCAAAAATCCCAAAAAAATCCCTCAAAAAACCCAGTAAAATCCCCAAAATAATCCAAATAAAATCCTCAAAAAAATCCCCAAAAAATCCCCAAAATAATCCCAAAAAACCCCCCAAAAATTCCCAAAAATCATACTAAAATCCCCAAAAATCCCTCAAAAATCCATCAAAAAAAAAAAATCCCCAAAATAGTCCCAATAAAACCCCCAAAAAATCCCAAAAAATCATATTAAAATCCCCAAAAAATCCCCAAAAATCAAAATAAAACCCCCAAAAATCCCAATAAATTCCCATTAAACCCCACTAAAATCCCCCAAAAAAAGCCCAAAATATCCCCCTAAAATCCCCAAGGATCCCCCAAAAATCCCCCCAAAAAATCCCTGAAAAATCGCAGTAAAATCCCCAAAATAATCACAATAAAATCCTCAAAAAATCCCCCAAAATCATAATAAAATCCCTGAAAAATCCCCAAAAATCCCCGAAAAATCAAAAAAAAAAATCAAAAAAAAATCCCCAAAATAATCCCAATAAAACCCCCAAAAATTCCCGAAAAATCATAATAAAATCCCCAAAATAATCCCAATAAAACCCCCAAAAAATCCCCCAAATAATCCCAATAAAACCCCCAAAAAATCCCCCAAAAATCCCAATAAATTCCCAATTAAAATCCCATTAAACCCCACTAAAATCCCCAAAAAAAGCCCCAAAATCCCCCAATTTTCTCTCACCGCTCTCGGACAGCTCCGAATCCGATTCCTCCTCCTCCTCCTCCTCTTCATCTTCATCTTCTTCATCTTCATCTTCATCTTCATCTTCCTCCTCCCCCCGGGGGTCCCCCCCGAGCTCCTTTTGGGTCTCCTCGGCCCCCTCGGGGTCCCCGGCCCGGAGCTGCTGAGCCCGGAGCCGCCGCAGCACCCGACGCTGGAATTTGGGGAAAAAAGGCCCAAAATTGGCAAAATTAACCCCAAAAAATCCACAAAATCGGCCCTAAAATATAGCCAAAATAGCCCCAAAAAATAGCCCAAAAATCAGGAATTTTGGTGGGGAAAATGGCCCAAAAATGCCAAAATTAACCCCAAAAAACACCCAAAACAACCCCCAAAATGGCCCTAAAATATCCCAAAAGAGCCCCAAAAATAGCCCTCAAAATCCCAAAATAGCCCCAAAAAATCCCAAATCCTGCCCCAGAAATGGCCCTCAAAATCCCAAAAAATAGCCCAAAATCGTGAATTTCGGGGGGAGAAATGGCCCAAAAATGCCAAAATTAACCCCAAAAAATCCCCCAAAACAACCCCAAAATGGCCCTAAAATATCCCAAAAGAGCCTCAAAAATAGCCCTAAAATATCCCAAAACAGCCCCAAAATTATCCACAAAAAAACCCCCAAAAGAGCCCCAAAAATCAACACAAAAAACTCCGAAACAGCCCCGAAATTGGCAATTTCAAGGGGAAAATGGCCCAAAAATGCCAAAATTAACCCCAAAAAATCCACAAAACAACCCCAAAAATGGCCCTAAAATATAGCCAAAATAGCCCCAAAAAATAGCACCAAAAATCGGGAATTTCAGGGGGAAAATGCCCTAAAAATACCAAATTTAGCCCCAAAAAGTCCCAAAGGAGCCCGGAGCCACCGCAGCACCCGACGCTGGAAATTGGGGAAAAAAGGCTCAAAAATGGCAAAATTAAACCCAAAAAATCCCCCAAATCGGCCCTAAAATATCTCCTCAAAATCCCAAAAAATAGCCCAAAATCGTGAATTTCGGGGGGAGAAATGGCCCAAAAATGCCAAAATTAACCCCAAAAAATCCCCCAAAACAACCCCAAAATGGCCCTAAAATATCCCAAAAGAGCCTCAAAAATAGCCCTAAAATTCCCAAAACAGCCCCAAAATTATCCACAAAAAAACCCCAAAATAGCCCCAAAAATCGACACAAAAAACTCCAAAACAGCCCCGAAATTGGCAATTTCAGGGTGAAAACGCCCCCAAAAAGCCAAAATAACGCCAAAAAATCCACAAAATTACCCCAAAAATGGCCCTAAAATATAGCCAAAATAGCCCCAAAAAATAGCCCCAAAAATCGGGAATTTCAGGGGGAAAATGGCCCAAAAATGCCAAAATTAGCCCCAAAAAACACCAGAAACAACCCCAAAAATAGCCCTACAAAACCCCAAAAAATAGCCCCAAAAATCCGGAATTTCGGGGGGAAAATGGCCTAAAAATGGCAAAATTAACCCTAAAAAATCCACAAAACAACCCCAAAAATAGACCTAAAATATCCCAAAAGAGCCCTAAAATTCCTCCAAAAAATCCCCAAAAATCCCCAAAAAAAGCCCCAAACATCCCTAAAAATTCCCAAAAATTCCTAAAAATTCCCCAAAAATCAAAAAATATTTCCAAAAAATTCAAAATATTCCTAAAAAATAAAAAAAATTCAAAAAAATCCCTAAAAAAACCCCCCAAAATCCCCAAAAAACCCCAAACATCCCACAAAATTCACAAAAACTCCTAAAAATTCCCAAAAATTCCTAAAAAATTGCCAAAAATTCCTAAAAATTCCCAAAAATCCCAAAAAATTCCGAAAAAATCCCAAAAAATCCCGAAAAATCCCAAAAAATCCTGAAAAATCAAAAAAATCCCAAAAAACCCCCGAAACATCAAAAAAAATTCCCAAAAAATTCCAGAAATATTCCCAAAACTTTCTAAAGAAGCCCAAAAAATCCCTCAAAAAAACCCCAAAAATACCCCAAAAAATCCATTAAAAACCTTCCAAAATGCCCTAAAATCCCCAAAAAAAATCCCAAATTTTCCCGAAATTCCCAAAATTCCGGGAAATTCCCAAAAATTCCCCAAATTCCCACCTGGAGCTTTGCATCCCCGGCGCTCCGGGCGCAGCCCAGAGCCCCAAAAAATCCCCAAAACAATCCCAAATAAATTTTTAAAAAAATCCCAATTAATCCCAAAACTTCCTAAAAAAATCCCCAAAATTTCCTAAAAAAAATCCCAAAATTTTCTAAAAATTCCCTAAAATTCCTAAAAATTCCCGAAAATCCCCAAAATTCCCAAAGCGCCTCCTGCACCTAAGGGTGTCGGGTGCTCCAAAAATCCCCCAAAATATTCCTAAAAAAATCTGCAAAAAAGCCCTAAAATGCCCAAAATTCCCCCAAAAATCCTCAAAATTTCCTAAAAAATCCCAAAATATTCTAAAAATTCCTAAAAATCCAGGAAAATTCCCGAAAATTCCTAAAAAATCCTGAAAATTCCTAAAAAATCCCAAAATATCCTTCAAAAACCCCCAAAAAATCCTTTAAAAACCTCCAAAAAAGCCGTAAAATCCCCCAAAACGCCCCCCAAAAAATCCCAAAAATCCCCCAAAATTCCTAAAAATTCCCAAAATTCCCACCTGGAGCCGTGTGTCCCCGGTGCTGTGGGTGCATCCCAGAGCCCCAAAAAATCCCCTATATATCCCCCAAACGATAAAAAAAGAATCCCAAATAATTCAAAAAATTCCTTAAAAAATCCCCAACATTTCCTAAAAAAATTCCCAAATTTTCTAAACATTCCCAAAAATCCCCAAAAGTTCAAAAAAATTCCCAAAATCCAAAAAATTCCTAAAAAATCCCTCAGAAAACCTTAAAAAATCCTTTTAAAAGCTCCCAAAATGCCCTAAAATCCCCCCAAAAAACCTCAAAAATCCCAAAAAAATTCCAAAAATCCCAAAAAATTCCCAAAATTGCGGAAATTCCCAAAATTCCCGAAATTCCCACCTGTAGCTTCAGATCCCCGGCACTCCGGGCGCACCCCAGAGCCCCAAAAAATCCCCCCAAAATGCACAAAAAATTCCCATATAACTTCCTAAAAAAATTCAAAAAAAATCCCAAAAATTCCCCAAATTCACAAGAATTCTAAAAATTCCCAAAAATCTCAAAAATATTCCCAAAAAATCCCAAAAAATCCCAAAAAATCCAAAAGAATCCTAAAAAATCCAAAAAAACCCCAAACATCCCAAAAAATTCCGAAAAACTTCCTAAAAAATCCAAAAACAATCCCAAAAAATCCTAAAAATTCCCAAAAATCCTTACAATTCCAAAAATATTCCCAAAAAATCCAAAATATCCTTCAAAAAACCCCAAAAAATCCTTTAAAACCCTCTCAAAATGCTCTAAAATCCCCCCAAAAAATCCTAAAAAATTCACAAAAATTCCCAAATTTTCCTGAAATTCCCAAAATTCCGAAATTCCCACCTGTAGCTTCACATCCCCGGCGTTCCGGGCGCATCCCCAAAAAATCCCAAAAATTCACAAAAAAACCCCTAAAAAATATCAAAAAATCCCTCCAAAATGCCCTAAAATTCACAAAAAAATTCTGGAAATTCCCAAAATTTCCCAAAAATTCCTAAAAATTCAAAAAAAATCCCCAAAATTTTTAAAAAATTCCAAAAAATTCCTAAAAAATCCCTAAAAAACCCCAAAAAATCCCCCAAAAAACCAAAAGTCCCAAAAAATTCCTAAAAAATAAAAAAATATTCCCAAAAAATCAAAAAATATTCCCAAAAATTCCTGAAAAATCAAAAAAAAAGCCAAAAAATTCCCAAGAAATCCCAAAAAATCAAAAAAAATCCCAAAAAATCCCAAAAATCCCCCAAATTCACAAGAATTCTAAAAATTCCCAAAAAATATCAAAAATATTCCCAAAAAATCCCAAAAATCCCCCAAAATTCCAAAAAAACCCAAAAAATTCCAAAGAATCCTAAAAAATAAAAAAAAGTCCCCCCAAAAAAACCCAAACATCCCAAAAAATTCCGAAAAAATTCCTAAAAAATCCAAAAACAATCCCAAAAAATCCTAAAAAATCCCAAAAATCCTTACAATTCCAAAAATATTCCCAAAAAATTCAAAAATATTCCCAAAAAATCCCTCAAAAAACCCAAAAAAATCCTTTAAAAACCTCCCAAAATACCCTAAAATCCCCCAAAAAAAATCCCCAAAAATTCCCCAAAAATGCCGCAAAATGTCCTAAAAATTCCCAAATTTTCCTGAAATTCCCAAAAATCCCCGAAATTCCCACCTGTAGCCGTTCATCCCCGGCGCTCCGGGCGCATCCCCAAAAAATCCCCAAAATTCACAAAAAAACCCCTAAAAAATATCAAAAAATCCCTCCAAAATGCCCTAAAATTCCCCAAAAAATTCCGGAAATTCCCAAAATTTCCCAAAAATTCCTAAAAATTCCAAAAAAATCCCCAAAATTTTTAAAAAATTCCAAAAAATTACTAAAAAATCCCAAAAAAAATCCCCCCAAAAAACCAAAAATCCCAAAAAATTCCCCAAAAATCCAAAAATATTCCCAAAAATTCCTGAAAATTCCAAAAATATGCCAAAATTCCAAAAAAATCCCAAAAAATCCCAAAAAATCAAAAAAATCCCAAAAAACCCCAAACATCCCAAAAAATTCCCAAAAATTCCAAAAAATCCCAAAAATTCCTAAAAATTGTCAAAAAATTCCCAAAAAAAATCCTAAAAATTCCCAAAAATCCAAAACATTCCTAAAAAAATCCCTAAAAAATCCCAAAAAATCCTTAAAAAACCTTCTAAAAGCCCTAAAATCCCCCCAAAAAATCCCAAAAAATTCCCCAAAAATGCCGCAAAATGTCCTAAAAATTCCCAAAATTTCCCGAAATTCCGTAAATTCCCAAAATTCCCACCTGTAGCCGTTCATCCCCGGCGCTCCGGGCGCATCCCCAAAAAATCCCCAAAATTCACAAAAAAACCCTAAAAAATATCAAAAAATCCCTCCAAAATGTCCTAAAATTCCCAAAAAAAATCCGGAAATTCCCAAAATTTCCCAAAAATTCCTAAAAATCCCCAAAATAACCAAAACCCCTCCAAAAATCCCTCACAAAACCCAAAAAAATCCTTTAAAAACCTCCCAAAATGCCCTAAAATTCCCCCAAAATTCCAAAAAAAATCCCAAAAAAATCCCCAGAATTCCCAAAAATTCTGGAATTCCCAAAAATTCCTTAAAAACCCCCAAAAATCAAAAAAATTCCCAAAAATCCCTCAGAAAACCCCAAAAAATCCTTTAAAACCCTCTCAAAATGCCCTAAAATCCCCCAAAAAATCAAAAAAAAAATCCCAAAAAATTCCCAAAATTCCCAAAATTCCCAAAAATTCCCGGAATTCCCACCTGTAGCTTTGTGTCTCCGACGTTCCGGGCGCACCCCAGAGCCCCAAAAAATCCCCTAAAATTCACAAAAAATTCCCATAAAAATTCCAAAAAAATTCTGAAAAAATTCCAAAAATTCCCCAAATTCCCAAAAATTCCAAAAAAATTCTAAAAATTCCGAAAAAATCACCAGAAATCCAGAAAAAATTTTTAAAAATTCCCAAAAATCAAAAAAATTCTTTAAAAATCCCTAAAAAAAACCCAAAAAATCCTTTAAAAAGCTCCCAAAACGCCCTAAAATCCCCCAAAACTCCCAAAAAATTCCACAAAAATTCCCAAAAAATTTCTGAAATTCCCAAAATTCCCAAAAATTCCCAAAATTCCCACCTGTAGCTTCACATCCCTGGCACTCCGGGCGCCCCCCAGAGCCCCAAAAAAATCTCAGAAAAAATCCCCAAATAAAAAAAAAAATTCCCAATTAATCCCAAAAATTCCTAAACAATCCTCAAAATTGTCTTAAAAATTCCCAAAATTTTCTAAAAATTCCCCAAAAATTCCTAAAAATTCCCAAAATTCTCCAAAATTTCGCAAAGCGCCTCCTGCACCTGAGGGTGTCGGATGTTCAAAAAATCCCCCAAAATATCCCTGAAAAAATCTGCAAAAAAGCCCTAAAACACACAAAATTCACTCAAAATTCACCCAAAAATCGCCTAAAAATTCCCAAAATTTTCTAAAAATAAAAAAAGTTCCCAAAAATTCCCAAAAAATTCCCAGAAATCCCAAAAATTCTGAAAAAAATCCCAAGAAGTCCCTCAAAAAACCCCAAAAAATCCTTTAAAACCCTCTCAAAATGCTCTAAAATCCCCCCAAAAAATCCTAAAAAATTCACAAAAATTCCCAAATTTTCCTGAAATTCCCAAAATTCCGAAATTCCCACCTGTAGCTTCACATCCCCGGCGTTCTGGGCGCATCCCAGAGCCCCAAAAAATCCCTGAAACAATCCCCAAAAAAAAAAAAAAAATCCCAAATAATCCCAAAACTTCCTAAAAAAATCCCCCAAATTTCCTAAAAATTCCCAAAAAATCCTAAAAATTCCTGAAAATCCTTAAAATTCCCAAAGCGCCTCCTGCACCTAAGGGTGTCGGGTGCTCCAAAAATCCCCCAAAATATCTCTAAAAAAATCGGGAAAAAAGCCTTAAAATGGTAAAAATTCCCCCAAAATCCCCAAAATTTCCTTAAAAAATCCCAAAAATTCCTAAAAATTCCAAAAATATTCCCAAAAAATCCTAAAAACCAAAAAATCCCTCAAAAAACCCAAAAAAATCCTTTAAAAACCCCTCAAAATGCCCTAAAGTCCCCCAAAAAAACCCCAAAAAATCCCCAAAAAAATCCCTAAAAATTCCCAAAATTCCCAAATTTTCCTGAAATTCCCAAAAATTCCCGAAATTCCCACCTGCAGCCGTTCATCCCCGGCGCTCCGGGCGCATTCCAGGGCGTTCCTGAGGGGGTTCAGGATCTGCGCCGGCGCCGCCCCCGAATCCTCCAGAGCCGCCGC